TTTGTAAGTGTAGGTGTGGGTAGGTATACTGCAATATAACGAAGGAATACAAGAACAAAAACGCAGATCGATATTATTTAAGGACGAAAAATGTGGGCGATAGCTTCGCGCATTAATACGTAAGTACATAATTGCATTATGTCGTTCGTCTGCACCACCGCAGTGTCGGTTATTCGATGATAATAATAATGTCGTACTCATTGTCATTATTATGTTCTCCTCTGCCGTATTACTCGGCGGCGGCGGACATGACCGGCGTTTGACACGAAATACATAATATCATTACAAAAGTATACTAAGTACGTCTCACACACACACACACTCACACACACAGACAATAATATCATATCGATCCGCCGCTAGGATAGGACTCGATGATAAACCGGCGGCGGCGGCGGCGGCAGCAGCATGAATCAGTTGCTACGGGAAACAGGCGTGACTATCGGTATAATATAGCGCAGATGCGAAACTGCGCCCCCGCAGGACGGCCGAAATAGTATTATCGTTCGTTTATTATTCTTTGATAACCCGCAGCGGTTTGATACACACACGCGCAAGGCAATACCTTGTACGATATTATACTCGACGATCGCGAATTCCGAATTTTCACACCGACCGCTGCAGATTGTCCGCAGTGAGTGTTATCAATTTTTTTAAATTTTATTTTTACCACCACGATTATCTGGTTATTGTTATTATTATTGTAGGCCAGTCGACTTGCCGCTCTCCACCGCCGCCGCCGAACGACAAAACGTCTCCACCGCCCAAGACGTGCCATATCATAGACCGGCGTGACCAGCAGACGGTAATAAAAATACACGCCATCGTTGAAGGTAAATTTGTCGTTACGGCGCCATACACCGTTGTCGAACATGTTAATATATCATTATGCCTGGATACTTGAATAGTAAAATTATGATATTGTGTAGGAATACGGTATACCTACGCTATTTTGGGTGCCGCGGTGCGTATATCGCGTCTGTATATCGTAGGCGCACATAAAAGGGGGGGAGTCAGCAGCTGCTTAAGGGCTGGAAGCTGAAAATACCTCACGTAGGTACTGCATAAAATGTTTATCGTCAGGGGCACGTGACGAGGGGGAGATCCAAGTAGGTATTTTATGGAAGATTTTAGAAGGTGGCAAAGTTTAGGAGACGACCAGTATTGGACGATCAATATGAGGAGGCAGGTATGTCGTGCTTAAAAAAAAAAATCTTACGATTAAAATAAATTGACCTGATTTATCATTATTAATTTTTAATTGATTAATTAATTATGTCCTCGACCGTAGTGAATAAATAAAAACGTTTTTAAGTTTAAGAGTTTAAAAAAAAAAAATTATTCAGTCAAAATATAATTATTAATATTATCATATTTTGTTTAATTGTTGAGAATAAATAATACTATAATAGTAATTACTAATTATCGATCACCATAGATTTTTTAATAAAATATATGTGTATTTCAATTGATTAAAGTTCAGTGTAAAAAATTGATTGTTTTACTTTACTAATAAAGAATAATGTGTTAGTGTTCCATCTTCCATGATGACTACAGAAAATATTCCTTATAATATCCAAAATGTATAGGTACTACACATAAAAACAATTCACAAAATAATAGATACTATTCCTAGAATAGCGAGAACAATGTCTTAACAGTGCTAAACTATTTTAAAGAAATTTAAACGGTGACCTCAAACTCTATGGGGCGGCAAATAGTTTTGCTACCGTTCACACACTGATCCTTAATGCGCAGCTGTGTCCCGTTTAGCCACGTTCAAAAGATTGGAAATAATCGAAGAAGTACTTCCCACCCTCAGCCATCCACCCACCGCCCTACATTTAAGTGTGCGCCTATGGTATATACATTTTTCTACAGTATTATATGTATTATTAATGTTTTGCTTCGGTTGAATTGGTATCATTCAGTATCTACGACAATATTAGATTTCATAGATGGTTCATTAGCATAGAAATAGTGTGCTTCACACGATTTTTTACGTCCATATACACCATACAGTCTACAGACGTAGCTGGTATAATATTACTTATCTACTATTAAGTATTTACGTATTAAGTAAAATATTTTTGTATTTATAAATAAGCAGCGTACGGTGAGATGTCGATAACCCGTCACGATAAAAATGTATTAAATTTGTAATTAAATTCAAATCTATATTTTCATTCATTATTTAATATTTACAGAGGTACCTACAATTTTATTTCAAAGTAATTGTTATGATTATCTTAAAGCGTTTAAGAGTTTTTTTTTTTAAACGAAATTCATTTAAATTTGTGTGTGTGCGTCGGGAGAAAGTTTTGGATCAGTGGCGTATCTAAGATTTTGTTACCTCGTCTAGTTATAACTAGTGTTATACAATTTGTGTACAATGTACAGATTAAATTTCTACATAAAATAAATAATATCATGAACTGATATTTGACGTATAAACATAAATTAGTACACCATTAACCTCTTAAACAGTAAGTATGACTATACGTTTCATCCTATGTACAAGATTATAGGTCCCTATTTTAATTCAGTGACTGCATTTTTAATATATACGCACACATGCACAAAACGAGAACCCACAAATAAATTATGACAGAATTTCTTCTTATGACTATATGGACTGACTTTTTGGTTCCTTTTCTTTCAGTTGTAAACATCAATGAGGATAAAGATACCATTTTATTAAAATTCAATACATAAAGTCCTGCTCGAGGAAATCATCTCCATAGCCAACTCTTTTCAAATGTTCCACTGTATATGTGTACTATCACTACCGTATTGACGTATTGTGGTCATAAACTTAAATGTAATGTACTTGATTTTGCTAAGTTTGTATAATTATGGAAATTCGACATCTTACCGTATTTGCAGTTTGTTATAAATTAGTTTTATATTAAATGCTCAAATACTGTACAATAAAAGCACGTACCTATAATTTTTATTCTTAACCTAGTAGTTTGGTAGAACAAAATTATTTTTTATTTCACGCAGTTATAAAAATAAACAAAAACTAAAAATTGAATTAAAGTTATAACGTAATATTCTATATGTATTTTTTAAGGATCTCATAGGAAGAAGTTAAACACTATAAATTTATAATACTCTATGATACCTATGTGAATTAATAATATTCAATAGTTTAATTTCTATTATTTGTGTATAGGTCAATGAGCCTATCTTAAATTTTGTCCCAGAAGTTCAATTAAATTAAAACGGAAATGATAATATCTTAACTATTATGTCCATATTGATAACACGAAACAACGATTGTCCTGCGTTTAAATTTCTTCTATCATATATTTTAATATTTCATTATAACTTTTTTTAAATAAAAATAATAACGGAGACACATTGTGAATACATTTTGAAAAAAAGCAATAGACTTAAAAAAGTTACTACAAATTAACAATAGTAATTAATACTAGTAAAGTATAAAGAAGGTGAAACAATGTTAAATCATAGTTTTAATAATCATAATTTTTTTTATAACATTATAAACTGAAACCTAGTTCTTTGGTACTTCTAACATAATTATATAAACTAATTTGCCTATTAAAATAATTCAGTTCAGCATAAATAATAGCATACCTATTAAGAAATCTTTATAGACGAGTGACTAACTCATTACTGTATGACTAAATGCTATGGCTATAATAGCTGTGATTCCATTTAATTATAGATACGAAATGGTTTAAGTCGTTCATAAAGTATATTTAATATAGTCTTGTATGTACCTAGTTTGTACCTTAGTACTCGTCTAGTTAGGTATATAACTATGTTAAACAAACTAAATGTGAGAATAATCTATGAAAATAACTAAAAACACATTTAATTTCATAACATTGGAGGTGAAATAAAGAGAATATAAGTACTTAAGTACCTACACATATTACAAACATATAGTGATTTGAGGTTTCATGAAATAATTCTGTATGTAATGGGTATCTTTATAATATTCACTTAAGTTTTCTTAACGTCATGATTAATATATCGCTATAAAACAAAAGTACTGACTACTGACTTAATACTAACGTAATATTTCATGACGTCAAATATGTCTACTTTAAATTAAAAAAATTAAATTATAAATACAAATATTGATATCTCATATTATACTTAAATAATCTTTAAAGGTATTAAAAATATAATTATTTAACACTTGTATGCCTATAAGCACCTTAATAAGTGCCTACGTAGAACTACTTATAAGCACGTGCTATGTGTCACTTTGTGGACAATTTTATATTGATAGAAAACAACATTATGTAGAGTAATTATACAGGGTGATGACCTAACTACCTGCTAAGTATGCTATTATTTCAATAATAGGTATGCTACGATATGTACAATAGTACATAGTGCTGTAAAATATGTTCCCAAATGATAGTGACTTTGGATTTTATATTACCTCTTTATTTAATTAAATATTAAAAATATCCTTTTAATATATGGGTAGGTATAAGAGGTATGACTAATATATTTTAGCGATTTTTTACTATAGTGTGCAAATTTAAAATGAGTAAATTATGATAAAATGTACTCATTGTATCTATAGACTGTTTAATGTTTAGTCATTAAACTATGTTACAATCAAAACGATCCGATATATGATTTATTTGTTTTTGAAGAATCTATTATATAGCGGTGGATTCCAGTTTAAAATGTTTTATGAAAGAATCATTTTAGTTTATTATTAGTGTAGTTTTGAAATATTTTATATTACATTTTTTATTTGTTTTTATATCTAGTGGTTAAATATTAAATATTTTGTTTTTACTTCAATCCATTCACATTAATCCATATAATACATAATTCATCAATTTTGAAATTTTGAATTTATTTTAAATTGAACAGTTGTTAGAAGTGAACAATATATTATCATGCATTACGTTTGAGGTAGGATTGAAGCATTATGCATAAGGTACATTACTAAAAATTAAATAGGTACATAATATTAAAGTAAAACGATTTATGTACGGAAATAGAAAACTATTTTTTTATCCATACGGCTATATAGTTCAATTTAGGTATAGTATTTGAGTCTTGTTAATATTTTCATCACATTTTATCACATTAGTTTGATATCAATGTTAAAATAATATCAAATAGATAGGTATTGGTGTACCTACAACAGAACATTATTAATAAACGCGCATTTTTAAGTAGTTTGTCTGTAAATATTTAAGGTGCCATTATGTATATATTTCGATGTCTAGAACCTAAAAATCACAGTGAATATATGCCTACATGCAAGACACGTGAATGTAAATTACCATAGGTATAATCACATTAATCACATTTCTTTGGTCGCCAGGTTCACCTGGTCAATAAATTATTTGATCAAATATTATGGTTATATTAATGTAATGATTACTTTTCAAATAGTGATACATTGTATTATATTATTGTATATACGATAGTACTGTCGCTGGACCGAAAGCCATGCCTGGTATTGTATCCAAGTCCCATAGAGCGGCCGGGGACAAAAACGCCGTCACTCATGTGTTCCGCAGAGTAAGGATTTCCTTGGCAAGAGAACCATCTAACCTCTCTAATGAGGAGGTCATGCACCATCCCGAAATGTATAGATTAATGACTTTCCTTGAAAGTATGCCGGTAGAAGAGCGAATTCTTGAGTTTTCTGCGCCAACTCCTGAAGAAGAAGACGAATACTTGGCGGGAACAAGAATTCGCGAAACCGAAGAAGCTCGCAGAGCCCGCGAAACAGAAGAGGATCGCAAGAATTATATGAATCGGTTCTTTCGTTAAGATATTAAATCATAAAAGTAAGTTTGGTCAATCATGTATAAAAAATTATATTTATAGTAAATAAATATTGTTAGGTATGTTTAGATATGTATGATGTATATAGATTATAGGTTAGGTAGACATTTGTATTTCAAAAGGTAGTTTCAAAAGTATTCTTACGCAAAAAATGTAATTAATTGAATTTTTATGGTTAAAAAAATATTGTTATGAAAAATGAAAATGTATACTTAAATACACTTATTTACTTTTATTTAAATACATTTTATGGGTATTACAAGGTTAAAAATTAATATTCAACAATGTTTTTGTTTATATTTTCAAATAACTTATCAACTGATAGATAATATATTAAAATGTAACGACGCATTTGATTTTTATTGTTAGGTGTTTTTAGGCCAAATTTGTATACAAAAGATTGATTGTATATAAATTTGAATTTAAAAAAAAGAATAAATTAAAATATAGTTAATCGTTTAAATAGTTTTTATTTCTAAATAAAATATGTGACTTGTTTAAAAATTATCACGATTATTATACATATTATATTTTTGTTCTATTTAAATTTTGAAGTACCTTCCAACTTAGCACTGTATAGAAACTAGATATAGGTCTATAAGTACTATTTCAAATTACATAGGTACTGTTATTCTTATTTAAATAACAATATTACGAATCAATCAAAATTATTAAGGTAACGCCATTGCCACACCCGTACCTATGTGTTTTCTCCGTCTTAGGAACGTACAACAAGGAAACAAGGAACATTTTATGATTCATAATAATACATTTTATTCGGTAATTTCTAAAATTAAATCGAACTATCGACCTCTTATAAAATGTAAAGTTAAGAATATTATCTAAGGTATATCAGAGGCTTTTATTGATATTTTTGTTAAGAATCAAGTTATGATCATTTTTAAACTATATAATAGGTTGTATACATTTTAAAATGTTTATAACTTACTTAAAAATAATATGTTTCAACAGTGTTTTATAAGTATTTCAACTTTAAAGCCATTAATAAACTGAATATCATACACTTTTTAAAATTAGACATACTTATTAATTGTTCCATTTTCCATATCATTGGCAGATATTTTTTTAAGTGTTTTGATAAATTGTACTGCTTATGAGTTGGCAAGCTAGTGAAAATTAAAAAAAAAAGATCTAACTTAATTTTTAACTAAAAATATTGATCGTTAATAAGATTCTTTAAAAATTATTATTATAAATTTAATAATGTACCTAATGGTTTTCTATAAATTATAAAAAATTTATGTTCGATTTGATGTGATTTTTAGATTCCAGCAACGTATCTTCATACCTACTTACCCAGGAGTTATCTACTTCACGAACCATAACTGTATTTTATTTTTATTAATTTTACTAGACACTTAAACAGTATATAGTATATCAGGTAATAATTACTGACAAAATTGTATTGTATTCATACTTTTTTTTCATCAACTATAACTTATGATTATTATAAAATACGATTGAATACATAGGATATATTATAGACGTGCAATGTTCACTGTGCAATGTGTACCTATGTACTGCGTAGGTATTCCGGGAAGTATAGGGACAAATCTCAAGTATAATATATTATCAAGTTACACCGCCATACCACATAACAATTTCTAACATATTTAACAAACGTTAAGAACGATCACGAATTGAGTCCTTATCTTTTCTTACCTTACTCATATTATTTATTTTGAATGTTATTAAAAACATATATGATGCATCTAAAAAATATTTAATAGATAGTTGTAAAGGAACTTATTTTTTATTGATTTAAGATAATAATGACACAAAATTGGTTAACTCTATCGTATACAATATAACAAAGTTAGAATTTCGGGTTATTTTTTTGTGATATTTTAAGCATAATTAAAAGATGATTGAATAATCACCGATAAAAATTATGTCTTGTACCGGGTTAATCGCCAACTATTCACAATTTTCTGGAAAATTAGGTACCTACAGAAAAATTCCAAAACTGACCTCTCTGTATCGTATTCAAATAACTATATCATTAATCTTTAATGTATAATAATTTGTGTTTGAATTCAAATACCCCAATACTCAAAAATCTTTTATCATTACGTGACCATTCGTTCCATTAGCTCCCTCTCACTACCCTTGTCTTTGTTCCCAATAAAATGTTGGTATAATTATATTTACTACCTATTATCTATATTCTATAAAACCACCTAAAATAGATTTGAATTGTAACATCCCGATTTAAAAAAAAAAATGAAAAATATACATCATTATGCTAAAAAGGTTAAATTAAATGTTCGGTTCAAAACGAAACAATAAATATTATTCATGATAATATATTGTTCTATAATAAAGGTAGTAGGAACAAGAAAAAATTTAAAAGTTTTTAATACGATGTAAATATATTTAAAGTATAAAGAAACATTTTTACACATAATGACCTTTATTGTTTTGTTTCATCTTATTGTAATAAGTATCTAATAAAAACGATAACATATAATATACTTATATACAAAATACGTGTTAAAATGTATAAAAAATGTTTGTATTTTTTTCAATCTTACATAATACTACAATTGGATTGAATAAATTTAACAAATTATTGTAGTTGAAAATTGTTATGTTTTCATTATTGCATTTTGTTGATATATTTTTTTTATCCAGGGCCGATTAGTGATTATAGATGATGCACTTAAGTACCGCAGAGCGTTGTGTGAAAAAAATAAACTGTATTTATGTAGCTCTTTTGAAATGTTTTACCTTCTTTTATATGTAAAATGATACAGTCGTGTAACGATATATAGGTACAATAACGTCGTCCATGCAAGCAATGCAATCTAATAAAATAGCAGTAGGTATGCCTACAAATGTGCATTATGTACATTGAACAATACTACGAATAATATTTGTTTTATTGCAAAATTACATTTTTTATTATACCTACTCAGCGTTCATTGATACTGTAAATAAAGAGTCACTTTATACATACCTATTTAGGTAGGTACATAAAATAAGTATAATATTAGTTAAACACGGGCTGGAAAAAAACAAATTATTTCATAAATGTTTGTTATTTATAAGCTGCAATTGCATTGTTCAGGTGTGTGCACGAGTCATTGTCGACTATAATAGTGAATCAGTAGCAATGTTTACAGAAAATCAGTTATTTTTACTTAGTTTATTGTGTTCACCGTCTACTGCAATGTAGATTGTAGAATCAGTAATATAAAAAAAATATGTAGTCGCATTTAAATTATTACTTCAATGCTGAATAGTTACGTACTTTGCTCTATATTGCTCTATTTTATGCCTGCGTAATTTTCCTATTTTGCACGTATAAAATAAGTAAATTTAGTAAATTTGTCGTTAAACGATAGATACAGACATTTAAATTTACTAGTAACTATCTCATGAGTCTGTGATTATCAACATTTCGAACTTTCTAAGATCGATCACGATAGTTGACGGTTGTATACTGTACACATATAAATTATTACCTGATAGTTAGTTTTCACATATTTTACTTAATTTTCAATCAAATATTTTTTAGAGTGAAGATACCAACTTGTTCATAAAGTGTTCGACATTTTTACTTTATCAACTTCACTCACATAGTAGCAGACTTTTATAACTTCATAAATTAATACAGGTATGAGATATTTAAATAGGTATACCTAGATATAAAATGTATTAGGTCATCAATATTTTCTAAACACATTGATGGCCGAATCTAATTTAAGTAAAATACACACATCATTGGACTAGGTATTAGAGAAACTCAAAATTGTGAAAAATGTAACCATTTATAGTGGAAAACATTTATTATGGAACTTTGGTACAGAGCTCAGGTCGACACCATCACCATAGTAAATGTCTCCTAAATATTATTTTATATATTTTTATTTTACTTGATTAGTTTTATTTGTATGAAAATTAATTAAAATTGTTTTTAATAAAAATTATAAGATAAAAAAAAATAACTTATCCAAAAAAAAAGAATTAGTACTAATTACTCCCGCCATTGTAAAAATAAAATAAAATTATAAGATAGTTTATTTTTAAAATTTAAATTTTATCCTCTGTTCTATTAGTACAGTCTTAAATCTCGATAAGAAATAGTAATAAGTAATATTCATAGCATACAATAGTCTAGTTAATTATTTATAAAATAACTAAATTGTAGCATAGCATAACACCCATAAAAGTATACTATTATTAAGATAATTACAGAAAATATAAATGTTCAAAATTAAATAAAGTTGAAAATGAATTAAAATTGATTATTGATCATTAATTTAGGTACAATATTAGCCATTAGAATCGATAACTAATTTATAGTTATCCGATATTGGGCTCCAATTGTATAGCATTTGAAATTTAGAAACCTCGAATATTAAATACAGATAAGAATAACAGAAAAATAATAATAATAATAGCCCAAATAGTTATAATTTTGTTTTTACATCAATGATTCAAAATATAACAATTTAAGTTGCATATTTAAAACTTTTGAGATTTGTGCTATTTTCGATAATGTGCATTCAAAATCAAACATATTGAATGGTTTTCATGAGTCTTAGATTATTCAGCGAAGTTCGGTAAAAAAAAAAAAACAGATTGTACAATAATTCATACTCAGATTGTTTTAATAATAATTCCTACCTATTTGTGTATAGATTATTTTTAAACAGTCCGACACATAACCTAGGGACCAGAACGTTGTTATCAGTTCAGTTGATAACTGAATTAATTTTTTGTTTGTACTTATATAAGTTGACATTTAGAGCATATTATTAATATTATTATATTATATATACTATACATATTTTAAGATTTATTACTTCATAATATTATAGTATTTTTTTTTTAGTGATATCAAGTCCCTGACACAAAACACATAGTTTCAATACTTAAGTGATATTACTTGGCCCAATTTAAATTGTAGACCAATACTTATTTCATTATTAAATAAATAATTTTTTTTTCTTATCTAAGTATGTAGGTACGTATTATTTTACGAAACTTGCTTAACTATGCTTGTGCTTATACAATATACCACCACGACATACTACGACCAGGTACCACTATTTGTAAGATTGTTTGCATGCTTATCACAATTTATTAGTTTATGTAGGTATGTAAAAAACAATCTACGTATGTAATTAATAGCATGTTGATCACAAATTACCATTAAACATTAATACTGTGTAGCTTTTAAACTATTTTATCCCGCTATTCTAGATTAAAATACCTCTAAATATTTTAAAACAGCACAGTTAAACATATTGTATTGTAAATTGTAATGTATATATGTTTCTCTTAAAAATAATTAGGTATAGTAAATATAATTTTTTACATAAAATAATACACATAATAAACACTAGATGAGTTAATTGGTCACCCAGTTTAAAAGTATTTCCAAATTTTAAATTTAATATTGAACGTCATAGTATGATAATAATAAAATATACCTAACATACACTTTCTTACTATTTATTTATATAGCTTCCGGTACTAGACTGATACAGCTCAAAAATTACATAAGACACACTTATTAATTATTTTTGATATTAAATAACTGTTACATTTACATACATTGGCTGTACAATGGCGTCATCGTTCAATGCAATATAATTTTTAAATAACAAAGTATAGAAAGGTTTAATAGTAACGAAGTAGTATTATTGTTAATCAAATTCACTCATATAGCTTTAAATAAGTATTTATAATATATTCCACTAAAACGCAGACACAAAACAAATTATCATACATACTTTCAATACACTTGTAATATTAATCTACACACCAAGTACTTACAGTAAATAAAATGACAAAGAGTATAGTGGAAAAAAAAGGAAATAAGAATAGTATTAACACCAATACACCGTGATAAGACACAGCTGGTTATATTTACATTCCATCAATAGAAATCTTTTCATAATAAACCACCTGATTTTTTTATGGCCCATTTTATTTTACCCACTATGCTACAGAACACCAATATCATAATAATAATGTTGAGAAACCTCACAAAAACCCACCGAAATGCCATAATTGTCAGGCGTCACACCCTAAACCAATGCCACGCTGCACATATCTCAATGCGTCAAAAATGCTTAAGATCATCATTCTAATAAAGATTATAAAAAATATTGTGACAGTCCGGTCAAATGTGATCCCTGACCACGCAGCCGAATTCAAGGGATGCTCGAGTCAATTCTCAAGTCCGGGGATAACAATCTTTTCACCGAAAAAACATTCTATCCCAAATAAAAATCTTCCGAGGCCTACCCCTGCAATATACCTCTTCAGGCTATGCCTTCTCCTTCGCCTCCATCACTTTTAATCTTAAACCTAATATAGTACCCCCCTACAAATCATAACGTTTAATTATCCCGTGTCCGATATTAGATCCACCTCCGAAAAAAATATCAACTAGGTTTTTAGTCCATATATAGCTAATAACACTCATTCCCACCAATATTCTTGACTGATGCTATTCTTTAACGTTTTCGGTAATATTGCTTAACTTCGCACACGTGCCGTACCAGTTCATTATAAACGGTCTTCACATTATATTTATGTTAAAATATTTATATTATAATCCTATTTAAGTTAATGATACATCTTTTTTCGTTACCTATTGTCGATGATATTGCTAGATTCTTAAATATTTGTATTTATTGTTGACTTCATGTAACTATTGAGAGAAGTGGTTAATACCAAATAAATATGTATAAATATTATAATGATTATAAACATTATTCACGGAACAGTCATAGTGTTTTTCTCACAACACTGGTCAGATGATAGGTTTTGTACCGTTGAAATATAAAAATCCACATTTGGACATCATCATAAACATTGCCTGATAGGTTTTTACATTGTTTATTTCCACGATCACTACTGTTAATGTTTAAAGGTACTATAGTATAAGGTCTGTGTGTAATGTGTACACGGTCGATGTGTGCACGGAATAATCAATCACCAGATATATGATATTTCGACTGTTGAAGTAACAGTTTAACCCAAGGCACTCATTATAACACTCAATAATTACCTATCTACGAGTATATACGTAGGAATAGATGCACTCAAATATTGTATTTAAATTGCACAAGCTTGAACACCACTGAAATTAATTATTGATGCATGATGTCACAATTTTACTCGTTTCCTCTTTAATCGGCAAAGTTAACTAAACCTGTGCGGATTATTGTATTTCAAAAAGACATAAATGGTAGTAGGTAGCTGTTTGAAGGCGATGCTATTTGGACACGGTCGCGGTGGTTTGGACGTCAAACTTGTACGTTCAAGGTATATAACCTATTATATGTTAATGATAATATTATATGACTTTTGATATAATTTAATTATTTTGATTTATTTTATCATCGATTAGAGTGTTTAAAGTATGAAATTACCTGCGACAACTAATTGTAATATACTTTTAAACTTTTTTTAAATTTTAAAACTTATATAAAAAATTACTTTTAACTTTTAACTTTTCCTAACAAATAACGAGTTAAAAAAATTAGTTAATTATTGCTCTACATTGCTTCTATTAGTCTCAAGTCGTTTATTATAATATCATAGTAAAACACTGATACGATACCTTCAACTATTTTTTGACGAAATATGGGAAGAATAAGTTCGTTAGATATTGAATAAACTATTTTTCAAAATTTTAATTTCAAACGATAAAAAAATAAACGAAAAATGTGGCTATACTTTCAATACTTATTTTAACTGCTGTAAGAACAACTTATGAAAGTCCATGACTATGAAATATTCAAGCTTTTTTTCAACCTGAATTAGAAACTAAAATGTTATCAGTTATCACCATAGAAAACAAAAAATAAATTCACAATGCTATTAATCGTTTAAAAAGTGCTGAAATATTTTTAAAATGATATTTGAGCTAGACAAGGTAACATAAATTATAGTCAAAAATATAGACATTAATCTTAAAATATAAATTACCTATAAGGTCTTTGAGGCAAGTGGAATTAATAATTATATGTGTTTATATGATTACGTACCTATTTAAGCAAGAGTTTAATAATTGATCCTAATCCTGGTGAAGATATTAAACAAACACATTCAACAATTAATAATAATAATAATATTCGCAGCTGCACTATCTTTTTATTACTAAATAAAGTAGAAAGAAAGTATTTAAATAGTTTATCCATACTTCACGTTTTAAATTTTATCACTTATATAATATATGCATGTTAACACATATTTTGAAAATGTAATTGTGTATGGAAAAATAATGATAACTTAATATCCGTTATTGCAAAATAGTTTCAAGATCTTTTAAATATTTTTTTGAATTATAGCAAAATGAACAATTGCTATATTTTTTGGATTTAAATATCCAATTTTGTCAAAATTTGAACTTGAAATTAAAAAAAAAAAACCGCACGTAATTTTGAAACTAATATAATATATTCCTCATCAGAATCTAAAACCATAATAAAATATAATATATAAAGCATGCTTTACTTAATTGGCCACATGAAAATCACGCATGATTTACTTAAGATAAGATAAAAAAAAGTGTAAGTAAATAAAATAATAAATATAGTGTAATGTCACGTCGTTTATACGAGGTGAATTAGTTTAAGCTAACATCATACATTAACGTTAAATACGAGCGTTTATAATTATTATTTGAGAATACAGTTGTCATGTTTAAATCACGAAGTTAAGACTAATAGAAATCAATTTAAATGTTTTAAATCAATTTACTTGCTATATAGATTTAATAAACTTGCTATTTACATACAAATGATAAAAGAAAAACTATAAATATATATATTATTTAAATAATAAAACCTTATCATTTTACCATTATATGCATCAATAAATTGCATTGTTCAACTCGTATTTATTCCTCTACTATTATGCTCTTCAATGCCATTTTCGAGTATAATATTAACCAAGTGATAGTAAGCTGTATTATTTTAATACTATTTCTGCTGACGTTGAATAAACGCGTATGTTTACTTTAATATATTCATAGGCGTACATTTTTTTTTGGGGGGGGGGGCATTAGGAGGTCTTACCCTAAAGGCTAACTTAACGCCGTAAGTATAATGAACTATGTTAATACGTTTTAATTAATATTTCTACCCCTCTCCCAGATTTTTGACCAAATGTACGCCTGTGGCTACATCATTTTCGATCGTGTTGGTCGAATGCAAAACATATTATAAATTTCTAGGACCCGTAAGATATAGCTTAAAGATCTTTATTCACATCAGTTCGCAAGACCGGTTCATGTTTTTCCAAGTTTCAACCAACCAATTATGCTACCTAACTGGATAGGTAAATTAGGAATAGATATAATTAATATCAATTATCAATAGCCACTTGGTGAGATAGAACGAGCGTGCAGGTGTTTCGAAATTTCGTGGAAGTGCCGAATAAACAGCACACAAAATATTTCATAATTACTAGTAGTGGCGGCGGGATATAATACTATTTCAAGCAATTTGCTTCATGTCTTATATAGGTGGGTGCCGGTGGTATAATTGTAACACTTCAATACAATTATTGTCATAACAAATATGGTAATTAACATAGTAAACTATCATTTTAATGTAACAAAGACGATGGTTGGTGGTAAAAATATAAAAAATGTACAATTCGCTTCAAAGACTCAAAAAGTTTGGGCCGCCACTGATTACTAGTCTAGTACAATAACCCCACCGGGGTTTCAAAATAGTTATTACACGTGTACTTGGCAAATGTTTAAATTGTATTTAAAAAAGGTGACTATTGAATAATAATCAAACTATTTCAAGCTTATTAGTTTTAGACACTAAAGTTACGTACACTTTTAACTACTACATAATTTGCACATTTTCGTAAATTTGACGAATATTGTCAAAATTATTTAACTTCAAGCGTTACTAATAAAACAATCATAACTATAAATTTTCAATATTTTTAAATGTCTATACCAGAAACATAATATGAGAGAACTTGTATAAAATGTTCAAGAATTTTTACCCATTTAAAAATTTTAATCAACATAATAAAAAATTTGAAAACATAAAATGTATGATAAAAATATAGAATGAAATTAGTAAAAATACCTATTTCAATATAAATTACTGAATAAAAACAATGTTTCAATTTTTCTATCGTCAAAATTCCAACTTCAGTCGCTCATAATACTATATCTATTATAGATTTAAGTTCTTTTTAAAAATTCCTGTAATCACAACTTATGAATAACCTTGTATTCAATTTTCAAGCTTTTTAACCATACATCATTTTTTTTATCAACATAAATAGAAAAAAATTCAAATTTTCAAATTTTCAAATATCAATAAATAACTCAAAATAAGAAAAAATATTTTGAAAATGGTACTATGAATGTAAAAGTTAGTATAAACATTAGATAAAACTTTAATCATGTATTTACAGTTCTTTCCAATTATTAATAAAGATAACTACTGGGAATGTTGACCCTATAAAAGCCCAACTAGATCAACATTTCACTAGAAAAACAAATTGAGTTAAAGATCAAATCATTTTTAAAGTGGTGAAATGTGACACAAAAATAAAAAAACACATCATTGCAAAATCTCACATTAAGTGTACTTGTGGCATAAATATTTTTTACGAAAACTGTGGAATGTTTTAAAAATCTAGAATTAAAATTGTTTGAATATTATCAAAATAACAAAAATAATTAAATTAAGGATACATTTTTATTATAGGTTTGAATTTTTAGTCAGCATATTTTAATCTTTCTATGACTCATAAAAAATGATTACATTTTGATTTTGATTTTCAGTTGATTAACTTACGAGTAATATTTTGTCAATTTTGAGGTGATAAAGTTAAGAATTTAAATATAATACTAATGGCCCTAGGTGTCAAAATAAAAATTTATAATTTCAAGACCATTAAGAAAATTACAAAAAATTTTACGAATTTTCAACTACAAAATAGTTTTCATATTTTGGCGATTTTGATAAATTTCACAACAATTCGATGTTTCAATGCTTATAAAAATAATTGTAACTTTGAATTCTGCCAATTTTTAACTGAAAAAATAACAACTAATATGAAGGATCTTATGTATCACAATGTCAATTTTCCCCCTGAATTAAAAAACTTTAACACACTAGTCGAAAAAAACTAAAAAAAAAAAAACATTTCAAATGTCCACAATGAGTGTTCTATAGATCTTTTATAAGCAAAATTATTATCAAAGTATTAATACAATTCTATCGTTATATTTTTTTTATAGGTACTTACAAAGCAAAATTGTGTTTAACGTATTTTTTTATAATTGTTGTTACTGGAATTAGGCAGTTATTATGGGCTAATAACGTTATTCCTTCTTTATCGGTTGTTAATACATGTATCATAATATTCATATACCTATATGGGCTATACGGCTGTATATAGGTAGGTAGTAAATATACAAACGCCAATACATGAACTAATGGTTGAGCCGAGCCAAGCACAATAAATCTATTCCATTTTAATCGACTGTGTTGCAATCAATCTTGGTTCTATACATAATTATTCAGATGTTTAAACATTTATAGTGCGTATTTATAAAATAGCTTCACCTAAATTTGCCTTAGTTGCCAAAGTCCGCGGGAACAATATTTTGGTATAATAATACATATAGTTTACTTTAAGTATGACATAATAGTTTAAAATTATTTATAGATCAATGCTAGATACAATCAACCACTTTGTAAAACCAAGAATGTTCGTGCTATGGATGGTATTATTCACATTAATAATATGGACTTACTCGTATTATTCGTTGACTGCATTTGAAGTGGTTTTTAGTGAACCACGTTCACTCTTCTTAGACCATGGTAAGTGTTGAGTATAATATTCAATTTATATTAAGTAGGTACCTAACCTAACCTAAATTTAAGCATCCAAATAATGTATTGATTAAATTATTCACATGAATATTAAAGAATCGATGTGATCGTTATACTTACGGTAAATTTGATAACTTACATGATTTAGTCTTATAAGATCTATTTTGTAATATTATGTTGAACATTATTGAAATAAGTATTTTAATTTACATAGGTATTGTTACAGCTCTCAACTTATTCAGAATACAGTATATGACTCTTATAAACTACAATTGTTTTTAATAGCATTAATACAAAACTACTTACATTTACTATAGTCATTTCTCAATAATAAGCACAATAATTGAATAACATGATAATTATCTTAGTTTACTTTTAATTATATTTTTAATTAAGCAGTATACCTAACATCCTAGCAGTTATTATCATATATTATGAACCGATTTAAAATATTGAAACATTGTAAGCATTTGAACTGACAGTAAAACTTATATTAAAAAATGAGTGAACCGTTTAGAAACTAGAAATATTTCAGATTTCGATTTCAAAAATCTCTTTCACTACAACTACCACTTTAATCACAGTTTACTTTTTGATATTTTTCTTGATTAAATAATAAGGTGAATGATATGAATAGATAATAGTTTTAAATGAAAGGATTACTTAATGAATTTGAAAATAGTTAAGAAAATTACTAGGAATATAACATTTGTACAGTCAAAATCCAATTAAATATTATTAAGATGTGTACCTACATAAGAACATTTAGGATTACTTTTAAAAAAAAAAGGCCTTCAGTATAACTTAGGTAATTAAATATTGATGATTCGTTCCTGTTAAGAACCATATACTAAAATAAATAATTATTAATTGTATATTTAAGGTACATTAATGTATCATTGTTATTTATTTCAGATAATTCTGGATATTTAATTAATACATCAGGATGTCGAATTCCAGAAATGTATTTGAATGGACCTGAAATAGAAAAATGTTTTAAACCAAACCTAGAACTAAATTGCAAAACGAAATGGGATTATAATTTACCATTAATTACCTCAGATTTAACATCTCTAATACTGAATATGAGTGCGTGGGCTACTTTAAATATCAGTGAGGGAGACCCAAGTTTCGAATGTTATTACATTCCAGTAGAAAGACCAGAATTTGACGACGACCAAGATCCAAAATCATTCAGTGATAATGATGTGAAGTAAGAGTAATTTCATACTTTTAGCTTAGTAAAATACATGGTATTCGCTAAGCCTAGAATGCATAGGTATCTCATGATGTTTATCGAAGATTTTTGTATAACCCTTAAATAAAATTTGATAAAAATAAAATATATAGGCTATATTTTCAAGAAAATTTCCAATATTTATCTATAATGCTCCTTCTAGTTGACAAATCTGCAATCAAACTGTTTTTGTCTCAATTGTAATTCAAAATTACTAAACAATTTTACGATATTTAAAATATTTTAAATGAAATCATCAGAAATCTTTTAATCCATAATAATATAGAAACTAATACTTGGCCTAGTGTAATCTAATCACTCATTGAATCATTAAAACAGATTTCTACCCGTAAAAATTCAAAAAAATATGAAATAAAAAGAATTGATCACTGAACTGCAAAATATAGTCGAGTTATTTTAAATAAACCCTTTAATTTTAATTTGAGATTTAAACCTAAGAGAAAACGTATTGTTGGATGTCATTTATTTTGTCGAGATACCTTATAATAAAAAAATGTTCTTGATTTTCAATGTCTTACACAAAAGTTTACTTAAAAATTGATTTTACTTACTTTTTTGGTGTGAATCAAAAACAAATCACCGGAAATGCGTACTTAAAATGTTCACAAATATTTATACTACCATTTGTTAAGCATGTTAAGATTTTCAAAATATTTTCAGTCCTTTATTGAGCTATTTGTAGATATTAAAATTTTTTTTTCTATAAATGTCAATAAAAATAGTTTCGATTGTTCTTAAAATTAATTAATTAAATACAAGATTCCTTAAAAATTGTTCTACTTATAAAAAAAAAAAATTAACTGGAAAATCGCATTGATTTTCATAATCATTTCAAAATGCAATTATTGACCAAATTCATTAAAATCAAAAATTTACGAAATTTGTTGTAATTAAATATTTATAAAATATTCAATTTGTGTAATTAAGAGGACAAAATGTAATAAGAAATTTATACAGGCTGAAAACAAAAAAATACATCAAAGCAGTGGTGTTCCTAGACAGTTTTCAGGAGGGGCAAACCTATAAGTTAAAATTTTGATCATTATTCCTTGGTTGACAAAGGGAGTAATTGTATACATCAATAATGGTTATGGGACGAATTCCCCTTCATCCTCCATTCTCCCACATGGGGACGCTTCAAAATCATTATTCGTGATGGGAACTCAAAACCTTTATACGTTAACTATATACGTAATGACATTTTCAAAACTTTTGGATTAGTTTTATTCTAATGCCTATTTTAGGACAATTATTAATACATAATATCGTATAAATAGTAGAATAAATTACTATCATAATTAATAGCCATAAATAAAATTGATTGATAAACTATTTCTGCTCAGAGTCATTTTTCGTATGCAATAATTTTCAATTGAATTCAGATTTAAGACATCCATTAAAGTTACGCAATGACGCGGCATACTCGACTACTACTTAACAGAGCAGTAGGTTCCCCCTTTTTAATATTAATTGAACTCTTGGTCAGTGAAATTAATATGAATCAAACATTTATCTTAAAATTTAGTACAGATCTTACTCCACTTTCGTCTGTCAGGGTACATTGTTAAAATTATAAAGTGCGCTTATGTTCGATCAAACACAATTGATTTGCCAGTACACAAACTTTGGAATATTTGGTAAGATAAATTTAGTTTTTAATTTTACATATTTATTGTATCAATCAATGAAAATAAAAAATAAAACAGTGCGTAAAATGACATAAGATATACCTATGTAGTAAAATTAAACATTCGAGAAATATATGAACTGATATCAATTAATACGCCATGTTAAAATTTAAAACATAAAACTGGTGAAACTGAAAACTATATCTATACGGAAATAGCAAAGAAAAAATAAAGTGAAAATCATTAAAAATAAACAGCAAACATATAAACCGTGAAATGCTTTGACAGGGAAAAGTAAGGAATTCTTCTTGTAATTAACAAAGTTATAATAATAATATACATAGTCAATGTTATTTTGTACTCTTGGGGTTTGACAATACCAAGACGTCCGTTGTACGAACACTATCAATAACACCTCCCTCAATCTAAAACCAATAGTTTTCTAGTATGCCTAATCTTATCTAGTTCTGAAGTTATCAGTTAGCTAGGTATTCCACTAATTAAACCGATCACTATTTTAATTGACACCCTTGAAAACATGTTGACACAACTAACTTAACATTTGTAAAGTAGAACGTCGAAAATCCTAACCAAGGCCTATTAAATTATAGCATTCAGCACATATAATATTATATAATTCATTGTACATTTAGTATTGGGAAACATTATAATAACTGTGATATAAAATAACAATAGGTTCTAAGACAATTACATAATTTACATTACTATAATTCATATGTATACCTATAATCGAAGTATTTTTATTTAAAATAAGAAATATTATGTGTATAATTGTAAACAGATTTATTATTCTTATAGACTTGGCGAAAAAGTATATTTCGTACACAATACAACAGTTTCAAACGAAATGGTTGAAGTAGTATGCACATTACATTCAAATATAATTTACAAATATTATCATATATTTATACGACCATCTTCATCAATAAGAAAACGAAAAGATGGAGAAGTAAGTATATTACTTTTGGGTTTGGATGCGGTATCTCGTATGAACTTTCATCGTCAAATGCCAAAAACCAGTGCGTTCTTATCTGAACTTGGCACTGTGGAAATGATAGGTTATAATAAAGTTGAGGACAACACGTTTCCAAATGTAATCCCCACACTAACCGGAATGTCAATAGAAGAGTTGAAAATAAATTGTTGGCCTGAAAACGACAACTTTTTTGATAAATGTCATTTTGTATGGGATGATTATAAAGATGCAAATTTTAGCACAGCTTTTGCAGAAGATAGTATTTTAATTGGAATGTTTAATTATTTAAAATCTGGATTTTTAAAACAACCCACTGATTTCTATTTAAGACCAATTATGAACCGTGCTGAAAATGTTATTGGGCATGAATCTATTGGAAACACAATAGGTTGTCTAGGCCCCAGGTTGGGTATGACTTTGTTGCTTGATTATGCTTTAAAAATGGCATTATCTATGACTAATCACTTATACATGAATGTATTTTGGACGACGAGTCTAACGCATGATTACGTAGAGTATCCAAAATTTGGTGACGATGATTTAACAGACTTTTTTGATGCGTTTAACAAGTCTGGCGAGCTCAACAAAACGATTGTCATACTAATGAGTGATCATGGAATCAGGTGGGGATGCTTTAGAGACACATATCAGGGTAGTCTGGAAGATAAACTACCCATGTTGAATTTCGTCATACCACAATGGTTTCAAAATATGTATCCTAGCGCAATGGAAAATTTGAATAAAAACACTAATCGGCTTACAACGCCGTATGATTTACACGAGACACTATTAGACTTCATCGATACGAAAAGTCTCGATGACGATTCTATTGCGAGACGAACGAAAATGAATAAAATTAAAAGAGGTACAAGTTTGTTTTTAGAAATTCCAGAAAATAAAAATTGTGAAACAGCGGGAATACCTAAAAACTATTGCGCCTGCCACGAGGAGAGGCAGGAATTAGCTGTAGATGACGCAAACGTCGTTGAAGCGGCCAGAGCCTTAATGAAATATGTTAATTTCAAGTTGTCGAAGTATAATACACTTTGCGCATTTCTAACGCTACATGAGATCCATAAAGCGTCAGTTGAAATGAGAAAAGACAATTATTCGGTGAAAGATTACGAGATACAAGTAACTACGGTTCCAGGGTTTGCGAAATTCGAAGCAACATTAAGACATAATAACGAAAACTTTAAAATGGTGGGTTCAGTTAGTAGATTAAATTTATATGGCAATCAAAGTATTTGTATGAACGAAGCTAAAATGAAGTTATTGTGTTATTGTATACATGAAAATTAAACTCAATCACATACTCGTAATGTCCCAAACTCATATCATTATGCCAATGTATATTATGATCTAAATACCAGTACTCGGTAGGTAGAATATACCTTATACCAATGTAATAATTAGACTTAAGAAGCCATTCTGGTAATGAAATTCGGACGTAAGAATATGCTTTTGTACTTCACATTTTCCTCATCCCTCAATAGTCGTAGAAACATGATTTTTGCCAAAATAAATGTGACAACTTCTTCTAGATAGAACTACGACCCATATTTTTTTCAAACTGATTTTATTTGCATTTCAAATTTTCCAAATTTCCAAATTGTTTAAAAATCGCATACAATAGACAATAGAGGTCTGAAAGAATATCTTTAAGATAATCTGAAATGCAGTTATCTAGAAGAACTTCTCAAATATATTTTGTTAAAAAAAAAACAATACGTTTCTAAGACTAAGAAAAGCTCTTGAAAATGTGAAGTTCGAACACATGTTTTCGGTAAAAAAATCAATAATTTTGAGCCATTTATTCATACGTTTTACTTTTACCGAAACGGTCTCTTAAAATGAGAGAAAAAAATTAATTTGTCTAATGAAGTTTCATTTTGTTTGTATTGTGATATTTTTAATTTTATATAAAATATATTATTAGAATTTTATAGATTTACTGTGAAAAGATTTTTGCTTTTTAATTGTATTTATTTTTTTACTGTTGAACAATACCAAATAATATGTATGACTATGTATATTATATTTTACACTATTTATACAAATTAACAAATACCAATTTGTTTGCAAAATAAATGATTATCCTTTCATATTATGTGCATATGCGTATTTTAAAAGAACATATTATTATTGTCTGTTAGAAATAATCAATTTGATAACTTGTACAGATTATAATTTGATAGTGTGTATTGTGAAATTATTATTAGAAATTCATTCAAATTTAACATTTTCACAGAGGGATGCATTTATGCAACACTGAATAGCTGATGTTTATGTTTTAAAAGTACCTACCAGTACCCGTGCGATTACGACTTTTAGGTTCAGAATTATATTATGAACGGTTGTTACACAGAACAAATTTAAGCAGTCAGAACTACACAAATTTCCTTCAGGTTTTGACAGTAAAACTTTTATGATAAAAATTGAAATTATTGTATCACAATAATAATTTACGTGATGTCATGATCGGTTACTGGTGCTAACTTCTAAGCTGACTTTTCAATGTCGACATTTTACTGATGAATCATCCTGAAAAATATATTCTGAAACCCTATTCTTAAGAATTATTACCTATTTTACTTGTTGAAATAAATTTAGAAGTGGAACAAAAAGTAGATAACTGTAACAACACATTTGTATTAAGAGGCAATTCAGAGTTAAAATTCCCAATAGTTCTCCAAAGAACAGGGAAAAACAAAAAAACAATTAAGGAAAAACAGGCATTTTTACCCAAAATCAGTCTTCAATCAAAAGGATTTTCATTTATTATAGTGTAATTTAACAAAAACAAGCATGTAAGTTGATGTCGCTCTGCCGGGTAGCTGGTAAGTTGAATTAATATTATTCATAAATTATCAATGTTGCTAGAAAAATATTATATATACTTATGTAAAATTGGGCTGTTTTGAAACCAAACTACAATAAAATAACGAAAATCGTTATTTCTTGTGTTGATATGTAATTTTTCCAAATTTGAATTTAAAATATTGGTAAAAAAAATAACTGTATACAGATTTCTTATTTACGGGCAAACTGCTTAAATGGGACCTTGTTTTAAATTTTTCAAAATCATTTTTAAATTTTGTTAACATTTTAACTATAAATGATTATAAAAAAAATCACTCATACGTATTTTTAATATTTTTCAACTGCTATTGAATATCAAGAAACTTGTATTAAATTGTCATGCTTTTTGACTCAACCAATACAAATTAATTGATATTTAAAGAAAAAAAATGAAAATTGTTAATGTCCGTTAACAGCTTAAGACGAGTCAAAATATTTTGAACATTTTATGAAGTATATGAATTAATAAAATAAACGTATGATGTAAATTTCGATTGTCTGTAGTTATTTGTTTTTGAATTACAACAAAATAAGAAAATGGCTACAAGAGAAATCGAGTGAATATCAACAGAAAATTTCAACTTCAAAGGCTCATAAAAATGTAATGTTAAATTCCGGTAGATATTTTTTGTTTTTGAAATAGGTAATCTCCCAAATGAACCAATTAGATTTGCTTTCCTACTAAAAAAGTTGCTGTTGAATAAAATCGAAGCACTTTTACTAATTATGGACACAAAAATAAAAATAAAAAACACATATCATTATAAAATCAATACATTTATTGCTCCGCTCAAAAGTTTAAAGTTCAAATAATTTTTTTTGACGTCTGATATTTATTAGTAAATTAAAGAATTCTATTAGAATGATTTTATTATTTTGTAGTAAATAAAAAATAAATAACCTTTAAATATGTTTATTTTATCATTTAATAAATTAAATAAATGACCTGTATTTTTATGATTTTATGAAGTTATAATTTTGACAAAATTCATCAAAATCGCAAAAATGTACAACACATTTTTCAGTCATAACCTAATAAAAAATATTAATTCCATATCCGACATTTGAAAGTTAAATAGAACTTAGGTATAAAATTTGGTAGTAAGTAATATCATTTTTTTAAGAACGTTTGAGTTTAAAATGTTCACGTTGTTGGTTATATGCAACCGTAAATAATGATTTCTCATTAATCGCATTTGATATTTTGTTGTAATTCAAAAATTAATGAATTTTTTTTAGTAAATACTTAAAAAATTTCATTTCCAAAAGAGTATTACATTTATTTTGAATAATCCAAAATTGTAAATAAATATTTATATAAATTTTTTTTTGTGTGTGCGTTGAGAAACACCAGAATAGAGAGTTTATTAAATTCAGTGTTAAGTTTATATGTTTATTTATTTTTTAATCAATATTTTTAATTAAATACATTTTGTAAGAACAAAATCAAATCTTTAAGTTATATACAATGTATATTATATTAGAACGACATGAACAAAGTTCACCTTACAAAAATTACTATAAATTATATAATATTTATTTTGTCTAAAAATATAATGATTTAAAAAGTATACTTACAATTAAAAATATATTAAATAAAAAATAATTTTAGATTTCTTTGTTATTGACTAGCAAATTCCAGGATTGGACTTACAAATTTTTACAAATTGCTTTCTAAATACTGGCACAGCACGTTTGTACAGAACTCGTTTAAAAAAGTATAAGGGCCAACTTCACAAAATATTAAAAATATATATTTTAAACCACGATTAATATGTTTGTAAACTAAATAGTAAATACGTGTAAATATTGTATAAATACTTCACAATTACCTGTATTATATATAGGCAGATTAAAATGCATGTATGAATATATATTTTGAAAATTTCATTGTGTTCAGAAAATAATAATATCATAATACACGTATTACGTAAAGGCAAAAAATAGCATGTCCTTATTAATCAAATTTGTTTAATAATTATACAACAAAAAAATATAAAAAGACACATTTTTCGTTTAGTTATCCAAAACTTTTACTAATGCCTACATTATTAGTCAGAAGAATCTAGAACTAGAATGCAATAGAGTATAAAGTAGGTATACTTAGCTTAATTATTGGCCACTTGAAGATCACGCATGATTTACATAAGATTAGATACAAAAAGTGTAGGTATAATTAAACAAATGAATATAAGATTAATGATACACTTAGCGAATTCCCAGGAACGATGAATACGAGCGTTAATAATTAATATTTATGAATACAGTTGTCATGTTCAGATCACAAAGTTAAGACTAACAGCATTCAACTAAATTTTTTTTTTAAATATATTTTTAAATTGATATTTTTACTATTTAGAATTTTAGATGTAATAACCTTGTTTATACAGACAAATCATAAAATAAAATAAATTAATAAATATACATATTACTATGTATTAATTAATTCTTATAATTGTTTCCATTACATAATATCAATAAATCGAATTGTTCAACTCGTACTCCGCTACAGCTGTGATCTTCAATGACACTCTCGAGAAAAAGTTTACTCAGGTGATAGTTTTCTGTATTATTTTATGGGCTTAAATCGATCAGTCGGCAATGGATTCCGCCGGACACTGTGCCTCCCCCCTTGTATTTGTGTTTTGAAAAGTATATTTTAGTATAATTTAGACAGTTGTATAATTATAAATTACAATATTAATATTTAGTTAATACGTATAATATGTGAATATATTGTAAAATGTACAGTTCAGGGGGCGCCCGCTGAGAGTGGCCTGCAGTGGTAGCCATTGCGCCCACTGGATTTTCGAACGAACAAAAAAAATCAGTGTTTATAAATTCATAAATTTATTTTATTCAGTTACGGCGGTCATAAAAGCCCGCATTATAGTGCATTATACATTTATACCTACAACTGCACGTCTGCACAAATGACATTTTTGATCGACACAACGCTGTTGCGAGTACTGAATGAGAAACCCAATCAAATACAGAATTCAGATGTATACACACGAGTAGTGTGTATTGCATTGACTCACTCTGACGGTGTACACCAGGGGTGGCCAAACTTCTTTTGATCACGATCTTCTAAAAATATACTTCACCTTTGAGAATCGATGCTCGTGGAAACATTTTTTTTATTATTGAATAACTATAATTATTAAGAAACGTATCTGCTTAAAGTGCATATAAACATACAATAAGTATTATAAACTAATCACTAAAAATACTAGTAACATAATAATAAATAATGATTTCTAAAATCTAATTACTGAAGTCTAGTTAACATATTATTTCGTTGATCTGGGCATCGTTGAAGTGTGGCATTGCATGTCGTTGACCAATTGGTCGTAATTGACATATGAAACCAGAATAAAAGATAAAAATCAAACAGAAAAAGCTTATCGAAAATTTGTTCACTACGACCTCGATTAATTTTCGTGCGCATATCCCTAAAAATAAATTATAACATGATCGACTTTGAAATTATCCGCGATCGACCGTTTGGCCGCCCCTGGTATACACCATGGTACTTTACACTCGAATACGCCAACACTACACTAATTAGGTACCCATACGATAGTGCTTTTAACAAAAAAAAAAAAAAAAACAATGTGTTGAAAAAGTATTTAATGATTTGAACGATAAAAAAAAATTCGCTTATAATAACGTGTGGCCAAATATTACCAAATTTAGACTATACATTTTACATTATATATTCACACGTCACAAGTACATATGCGTTGGCTCCGCAACACAGATATAAGAACATGGGCCTATTATTATTAGGCCTATCTATTATTTACAAATATACGTATATTATCGGGCAAGGAGCAACAGCTGCTGGTTACACGCACAATAATCACTTTTTTGTGTATCGTTTTATTTTTTTTCATAATTATTATTGAATATGACTTGTGAGTTAAATAATATGTACCTAGATTAAGCCACGCGTTATCGCATACCACCGCGTAAAAATCGCCTTTCTTTTATTGTGTTTATTTTTTGATGTGCTCTAATCGCCACATCTTAATATTATATCCTTTTTTTTTGTGGGTGCTAATCGCGTATAATGTATAATTTATATTAGCTCGATTAGGTATTTAGTTTCTGTTCTATCTGTGTGCTAATCACCACGGAAGTATCCATTATTATATTATATTCACTCGTTGAGCGCAAATCGCTACTTTTTATTCATATTATTGATTATTGCATTGCGTGTAGTCGCGAATCACCACCTGTATCGTACTATAATATTGTGGCGGCTAATCGCCACCTTGTACCCCTTGTTATTATTGTATTTTTGTGGGTATAAATGTTGCTGTAGGTGTAGCAGCTGACCAGCAGAGCACCGACATACTGTGAGGTTTTGTTTATTATTATTGCAGTTTGTCGAGCCAGAAGGGCTAAATACTATTTTATATTATACTGTGGATCATTTAAATGTGTGTATTATAAACAACATCACAATCACCAAAAACCGTTTTACCATTTTTTATAATTCTTAATTGTTTAATTTACACTCATACACACTTACACACAAATACACATATTACACAACATGTGCTCCGTAGCTCGAAAGTATTAGCCCGGCGATCCTCGCCACTACGCCATGCACCTTTATATTCGCCGTAAAATACGCACACCACCAATATGCTGTTATAATAAATACTGTTTACTTAATGTATAACATAATTTTTAATTTTTTTATAGATCAATGATGGATACAGCCAAGCGCATTTTGAAATCAACAATTTTCATGTTATGGATTGTATTCTTCACATTGATATATTGGACTTACTTGTATTATTCTCTGACTACATTTGAAGTGCCTCTCAGTGAACCACGTTCTCTCATCTCAAGCCACAGTAAGTGTTAAATATTACTATTCAATTTATGTATCATATAAAATCAACGTAATCATATTAACCTCACTGTAAATTTGTTTATAAACATGAATTAGTATTATAATTTTCATATTATATAATACAAGGATTATTGTAATACCTAAGCATTTTTTAGTTACATAGGTATTGTGTTATACTGATTCGTATAATATGATCCTTGTAAGTTATAATTTATAGTTATTTTTAAATAACATCAATACAAAAATATTACTTACTATAATACTTTCACAATAATTAACATAAAATGATATTTACTTTAATCTATATTTTGAATTAAGCAGTGCCTAGCAGTTATGATCACAAATCATGGAAAATTTCAAAATGTTGAAACATTCAAATTAATATTTGTTTAAGCTATTTTAACAAGCATTTAAAACTGGAGACACCAAGACAGTAAAAAATAATTAAAAAAAATGTTTAGACACTGAAATTAAACATAACATTTAGATTTGTATAAAATCTTTATCACAGTTAAATTTATAATATTAATTTCTTATTAAATAATAATATGAATAATTAATGGATACAAGATTTAAATAAAAGGACAGTAATTTAGAAAATATCTAAGAATATTAGAATTATGCAGTCAATATCTAATTTATTATAATAATTAAGACATTAGATAATACGTGTAAAAGAACATTTGAAATTACTTTTCCAATAAATATTTCCTTAAGTATGATTTAGGTAAGTAATTATTACCTTTTGCTTCTTTGCTGACAAGCAGAAACTACATTAAAATAAATAATTATTCATTTAAAATTGTATACTTAATATATTTATGGATAATTGTAATTTATTTCAGATAAATCTGGATATTTAATTAATACATCGGGATGTCGAATTCCTGAAATGTATATGAATGGACCTGAAATAGAAAAATATTTTGACCCAAACGTAGAACTAAATTGCAAAACGAAATGGAACAGTACTTTGCCATATTTAATAACCTCAGATTTAACATCTCTAATATTAAATATGAGTGCGTGGGCTTCTTTAAATATCAGTGAAAGTGATAAAAGTTTCAAATGTTATTATATTCCAATAGAAAGGTCAGCATTGGAAAAAGACCAAGATCCCGACACATTTAACGATAATGGTGTGAAGTAAGAGTATTTCTCTACTTTAAGTTTAATGATATATATGTACATGTTTGCTAAGTTAGGAAATAGGAGTGTTTAAGTACCTCATGTGGTTTATCAAAGTTTTTTTATAACCCTTTAGTAAAATTGTATAAACCTAAAATATTAAGGCTATACTTTTGATTGAATTAAAAGCTTAAAAATCTAATATAGGATTCCCTATTAATTGATCTTTCTATAATGAAAAAATAAAGTCACATAATTTTTTTATAATCATTTGAAGTTCAAATTTTGATAAAGTTAGAAATATACTTATTTTTTTTTAATACAAAATCTTAATTCGTGGAAACTAAAAACTATTAAGTTTCCAAATATATTTCACAATACGCAATGATATTTTTAAAACATTTGGATTAATTTTGCAGTATTTTTTTATGCTTGGTTTAAACTGTAGGTGTAATTATTATGATAATATATAGCGTCAACAATATCAAATTAAATGTCCTAACCATGCTATTTTAAGGTATAGAATTTTCCACATGTTATAATTAATTTTAAATTCAATTTCTGATCACCACACTTCCATTATTATGAAATATTATAGGTGTAGTGTGTTCTATTGAAACATTTTTTTTTCTTTTAGACTTGGCGAAAAAATATATTTCGTACACAATACAACAGTTTCAAACGAAATGGTTGAAGTAGTATGCACATTAAATTCAAATATAATTTACAAATATTATCATATATTTATACGACCATCTTCATCAATAAGAAAACGAAAAGACGGAGAAGTAAGTATATTACTTTTGGGTTTGGATTCGGTATCTCGTATGAACTTTCATCGTCAAATGCCAAAAACCAGTGCGTTCTTATCTGAACTTGGCACTGTGGAAATGATAGGTTATAATAAAGTTGAGGACAACACGTTTCCAAATGTAATCCCCACACTAACCGGAATGTCAATAGAAGAGTTGAAAATAAATTGTTGGCCTAATAACTACGACTTTTTTGACAAATGTCATTTTGTTTGGGATGATTATAAAGATGCAAATTTTAGCACAATTTTTGCAGAAGATAGTACTATAATTGGAATGTTTAATTATTTAAAATTTGGATTTTTTAAGCAACCCACTGACTATTACTTAAGACCGCTTTTGAATCATGCAGAAAATGGCATAGGACACAAATTGATTTTAAACACTATAGGTTGTTATGGTACTCGGTTGGCTATGACCATGATGCTTGATTTTGCTATTAAAATTGCATTATCTATGACTAATCACTTATACATGAGTGTATTTTGGACGACAAGTCTAACGCATGATTACGTAGAGTATCCAAAATTTGGTGACGATGATTTAAGGGACTTTTTTGATGAATTTAACAAGTCTGGTGAGCTCAACAAAACGATCGTCATACTAATGAGCGACCACGGAATAAGGTGGGGAAGGTTTAGGAACACATACCAAGGGAGTTTGGAAGATAAACTACCTATGTTGGATTTCGTCATACCACAATGGTTTCAAAACATGTATCCTAGCGCAATGGAAAATTTGAATAAAAACACTAATCGACTTACAACGCCGTATGATTTACACGAGACACTATTAGACTTCATCGATACGAAAAGGCTCGATGACGATTCAATTGCGAGACGAACGAAAATGAATAAAAATAAAAGAGGTACAAGTTTATTTCTAGAAATTCCAGAAAATAAAAATTGTGAAACAGCAGGAATACCTAAAAACTATTGCGCCTGCCACGAGGAGAGGCAGGAATTAGCTGTAGATGACGCAAACGTCGTTGAGGCGGCCAAAGCCTTAATGAAATATGTAAATTTCAAGTTGTCGAAGTATAATACACTTTGCGCATTTCTAACGCTACATGAGATCAATAAAGCTTCAGTGGAAATGAGAAAAGATAATAATTCTTTGAAAGATTACGAGATACAAGTAACTACGGTTCCAGGGTTTGCGAAATTCGAAGCAACATTGAGGCATCATAACGACAACTTTAAAATGGTGGGTTCAGTTAGTAGATTAAATTTATATGGCAATCAAAGTATTTGTATGAACGAAGCTAAAATGAAGTTATTGTGTTATTGTATACATGAAAATTAAACTCAATCACATACTCGTAATGCCCGAAACTCATATAGTCATATCATTATGCCAATGTATATTATGAACTAAATATCTGTACTCTGTAGGTAATGTCCCAAATCCATACCCTTGTGTGAATCAATGTGTTTGTTTTATTTATCAGTACCCGATGGATATAATATAGTATATGCTTTGCAATAATAATTATTGTTATAATGAAAGACGAAATAAATCGACTTTTCAAATAGAGTTTAATTTGTTTTGTAACGTGATATTTTTAATTTTATGTAAAATATACTATTAGAATTTTTTGGTTTTTGTTGTGAATAGATTTTTGCTTTTTTTGCGATTGAATAATACAAAATAAATATGTATTTCTAACGCATGTTATATACTAATGTGTTAAAAAAAAAAAAATGTTTATCATTTTATTGTGCATGTGCTATTTAAACAAAGGTCTAGCATATTAATATTGTCTGTTGAAAAAATAACAAATATGACTGCTATAATACAATATATAATGTATTATGATAGTTTGATCGGTTTGCATTTTGTAATTACTAGAAAATCATTTAAACTTTTTATTGGCACAGGGAGATGCAGAATTTATGCAACAGTGGACAGCTAATGTCGATGTATCAATAGCCTATTGAGGTAAGATGACTGTGTACTTATGATAATATTACGAATATTAGATTTATAATTATATTATGCTTTAAATATATACACAGCAACAAATATAGGCAGCCAAATTCTAAATCATAAAAATTTTGTGATACAACTTTTAATTATTGTGTAACAGTAATAGTTTACATCTTAATATTATTGTTGGCTATATAAGTACTAAGCGTCAATAAAGAGGTATATTATTATTATTATTATCACGGTTTTTTGTATACAGTCTACTTAGAACATTCTACAATATCACTGATTAATCTAAAATATATCAATTTTACAGCTAGGTATATTTTTTATATAAACTCATTCCAATATTCTGTAAGTTGCTGGAGGACGCAATTATCAAGACATTTATTTTTATTATTTGTATTTTTGAAGTAAACTAAGGGCTCGTGGAATAAACTGCGAAAATTCGAAAATTGTGATGACTCATTTGTGCGAATTTTAATATTGGTCTGTAAGCTCGGAATATTTTATACTCCGGTAGATATTTAATAATTATTATGGTTTGATGAAACAAAACTCTCACATTTTTAAGCTGTCATAATATAAATGTTTAATAATAATAATATTATAACTATAAGTTATTGACAGAGAAAGAAAGAAGAATTAAAATATCATATTCATGATCATGACAGAGATTGTAAAAACTAGTTTTTTTTTTAGTAACACTAAAGTAAAAGTGAATTTTGAAAAGAAAATTAGTTTGGTACTATATACTAATATTAAACTATACAACATATCGAAAATCCAATTCCTAAATAACTAAAAAGAGATTTAGGAATTCAAATATTATGTTTTCAAAATTTTACAATCGGACTTTTCATTAGTTCAGGAAGAATTTCAAATATCCAACGCATGACCCTAAGTAATTTAATTATACATTTTTCCATTTGGCTATGGACCCCCAATATTGAAAAATGTTTAAGGCCCAGGGCAATGGCTGACTGGGCGATTTTACTCGTGATGCACAAATACCAAAGGTACAAACATTTCGACTAAAAATTTGGAAATATTACAGAATGAGGATTGTATATTGTTTTGATTTATAATTTACAATTTCAAATACTTTTGTTAATATAGTTGTGACATTTATATGTTCATTGATATATAAGTTGTTTATGTTTATTAAGGCTCCATGAAAAATCAGTTGAAGATAAATTATCTATAAATATTATTGAGTAGCCATAACATTTTTTTTTACACTCGAACCAATATACCATACAATCAAATAAGCATTATTTTACCAACAAATATTTATTTCAATACTCGAATTCGAATCGACAATTGTATAAGTATTTAAATGTTAAAGTTAATATTTTCCAATATTTAAGCTTAACGGTATAAATGATATTATAATAATCAACACACGAATCTTAAATTCTTATAAATAATACATACAATTGTTTGAATGATTTTATAGTAATCGTTCCTACTATTTTAATTATCGATTTTAGAGAATCAATATTCGTTCCAATCGCCTACCCAAGTGCAATGGTAATTGTTAGTGATTTCTGACATCTCCGGTAAAATTTGCAACGGAATAGTCTCGGGAATCAATTTGTCGTCGTCTGCGATTTGTGAAATCAAAACGATGTCACTAGTGCTGTTTTCGTCGTTCTCGATAACACGGGGTCGTTTTGAAAATTTTCCAATCGAAACTATTACGTTCGTCGAGGCCCATCCGTATAAGCCATAAAAACAAATAATTATTATTATAATGGCGTAAACGTAGACAAAATTCACAATGAGAAACGATATCGGCGATTTTATAGGCGGAGACGAATCAGTGTTGTTTTCAGCATTTCCGTTTGATGATGTCTGGATACAAAACGCACAGGTAGATAACTACATTAGTATTTTGTTTTGAAGTTTGTTTTAGGTATAAACCTAATATAAAAATCGTAATCGATACTCACTGCATTGTTACTAAAACTATCACAGTGCTCGTGGTATAATCGATATAATGGTATGTATTTTGCGAAAACAAAAAAAATAATCAAAAACATTACAAATACAATTGCAAATGACTGAAGTATATTCATTTTATTGTTCATTTTAACGTCTGTTTTGTTTGTACGACTCGGTGTTATTTACATTTCGTCGTAGCCAATAAGAAGAAAAATAACACTAATTATAAAAAATAATAATAATAAAAATAATGATGATAAAATATAATGAGATACGGATATTGAAAGTTAACCCATTTTAATGGAAATTTATAATAGCCACTGAAAATAATTTAACAATTATTTCAATTATTAATTAATAACCCTCGTAGTGCCGCAATGACAAAATACGCATACCTAATCATTTAAAGCCCTCTCGGATCTATTATTGCACATTTATGGTATACCTACCGTAATAATATTATGTCACAGAAAAAAAATGCCTCACTTTATGAGTCACCGTGTGCAGTGGAAGTTAGATTAAGCTAGGAAATCCTACTATCTTTTTTACTAGAAAGTAGAATAAATGTAAGCAGCAGATAACGGAGCGACTTTTTAGCGGCATTCGACAGCCTATTGTGCTCCGTGGCAAATACGTGTCCAGACGACCAGGCATTTGTTTTTCGATTAAAACGATTTCAAAAATAATTTAAATACAAACAAATGCATAAAAATAAACCTCACGGCCATCTTTCAATGTAGACAGCCCAGTAAGCCGATTAGAACTTTCATCCAAAAATGCAGCCGAAAGCAAATTTGTGACGTCGCACTCGAGTCTCGTGGCCAAAGCTGCTCAGTCTTTAGCAATGCAGCGGCGGTTCCCCTAATTGCAAGCAGATCCGTGTAGAATTAATAATCTTTGCCACAGACTCCGAGTTTATGAGCAAAAAAATAGCATTTAAATGATCAACATCTCTCGCGCGATTTAATTAAATTCCCACGTGTATATTGCACAAACATTCATTACGAACCACACAAAAATATCTTTAATAATACAGTAAAAAAATAATTACATAATTAATGCGAAAGCTGAGATTATTATGTTGCATTTCTGCTAGAAGTTTCGATAGGTAAAGGTACCGGATAGTTTTAATCTGCACAGATCGGAATCTACTATATTTTGCAACCGGTTTCTTGCTTATTCTTAATTATGTACCTACACTATATAGACAACTAGAGCAGAAAAAGCTTTTTCGCAGAGGTGTGTAGTTGTAGTGGAAAATGGCTTCAAGACTTGTAGAGCCATATTTGATTACTTATATAGGACATAGGTAATACGTATATTAAATATTTATAGTGTTTATATAGGTACCATTAACCAACACGCGTATGCATCAGAAAGACGATAGGATTATAGGCACTCAAAATACAATATTATGATTTGTAATTTATACCCACGATTATAACTTGTCTGCACTTTGCACACATGCTGTAATGTTAGGAAGTTCACGTCTTAAAGATTCCATAATATTATAATAATCTGTAGTTACTACTTACTATAGGTTTCTATAGTTACCTTGACCTACCTATTTACAAGCCTATTTGCCATTAATTTATATAGGTACTTACCATGATTTACATATTAAAAATTAGATTGAAAGTACCTATTGCAAAAGTTGTCAGTGAATGACTGCTTTCATAAATATTATTATTTTCATTTTTGTCTTAATTAAATTTAACCTATATTGCATAAAATATTCAAATTAATAAATGATAGATATATTCTAAAGAATTGAAATGCGTATTTTTTAATAGCTTAACCCTCTAAAAAGCGAATAGTAATTTGTATGAATTGCTCAAAGTGAATTGTTTTTATAAAAATATCGGTATTTTGCTTAAAGTAAAGACGTTTATTATTTGACGTTTAAAGGCCGACATTTTTTTTCCCTCAGATGGCCAATAGATAGCAGCACATATTTCATTATTTCGTATAGGTCTAATATAATACTAACATTAATTTTTTTTTATTTTGTTAAAGACAGACACAACCAGTAGCGAAACGAACGTGTCTTTGAGCAGTAATTGGTTCTTGATTTTTTTTAATATTTAGGGGTGTATGGGTGGGCGGGTGCTCAGTATGAAAGTGAAAAAACAATTACCAAATAATAATTATAATGAGCAAATAGTAATAAAAATGCTAATAGTTTATAGTAGGTACCTACTTATGTTTATTATAAATTGTTGTTGGGAGGGTGAGTTAGTGGTTGGCCAATTTTAAGTTGCTTATGAATTATTTTAGGTTCGTTTCGGAAACTGGACACATCGGAAATTTGAAATACGTCAATTGACGTCTTTACTCCGAAGGGGTAAATAAATAATAATATAATAATTAGAAAATACTTCAATCGACGTATTTAGTATTTACTCTTTAAAGAGTAGTTACCATGAATAATGAATAATCCACTAAATATGCTTATTTTGGAAATAAAACATTTCATTATTCACAATTTTCCATCATAACATAAGGTATTTTCTCTCAGTGCAAACATACAACGAAATAATATTTTATTTCATATATATATATACATGTATTACGTTATACTATCGAGTACAATATATAGTAAAATATACACCGAATGGGGTAATATTAATTGTTTGAGTTTTCACAAAAGTTATAAAAATTAATTGCAAAATAAAGGAGTACATGTTATACATAAACAATAAAGGGGGAATTAGGTGTAGCGTAGATGTGAATGTACCTGGTCATTGATTAAGTTACTGAAATATATATGTTAAATTTTACTTCACTGGTAATTGATAAGTCATTTACGTACAAAAACGATGGTGAGCGAATAGGTCTATCTATATTCTGTTTTTTGTTTTGTATATGTTTTTTATGTTTCTCTTAAAGTAATTTATTTTACAATAAGTATACCATGGTAAGTTGATTTAGGCGAAAACATTATCTTTATTAAATTATGAATATTAAATTATTATACTAGTAGATAGTAGATAGAAAATAGTACCTATTATTATTGTTATTAACTTTAACTTTCAAGTCAATATACCCTTAGAGTAGAACGAAGTGGATAGATTCGTACTTCGTGCTAAGATAAATAGGAAATGGTTTAAAATTATTCTAAATATTTTAAAAATGTCATTGTGCACATAAAATATGACAATATACCTACATCAAAAATTCTAAGTAGGTAGAAATAATATTTTTTAATAACAAGAAAATAAAAAATTATTCTTAGTATAAATATCAAATTTTTTTCAAACTTCAAATTTCTATAAAAAAAATCATGTCAATTTATTTTTAAATTTTAAGTGTCTATAAATAACACTGACAATTTGAATAAAAACATTTGGTAAAATATTAGGTTACTTTGGTTATTCTTTTTTTTAATTACCTACCTACAGCAAAATAAGAAAATTGTTAATGGGAAATAGTTATTTTACGGCTGAATATGAAACTTCGTCAAAATGTTATGTTCAACAAATATATATTAGGAATAGTAAAACTTTATTTATAAAAACAATTTTTGGGATCTTTCGAAATAAATTTTCAAATCTTAGTAATGAATATCAGGCATTTTAGAAATGTTTAACTACATACAAAAATCTTACAAATTTTAACGATTTTGACGAAATTCGACAGAATTGTAACTTCAAACTGTCATCAAAAAGTGGTTGTTGACTTACACTCAACTTTTTTTTAATTTCAGTAATAACAATTTATTAGGAACTTAAGAACTAATATAACATTTTTAAGCTTTTTGGCAGAACGAAAATTTTTGTTATTTTACCATTGATTATGTATAGTCCAACTATAATCAGTACAATAAATGATCATATTATATTCCAATATTATAAAATTGCTGTGGCCATACACGGCGTCGTGGATAGGCAACAAAATGTTCTACAACTATCGTACCATTTTTCCGGTAGCTATTATGTTTGTGGAAGAGAATTAAATGTCACTATGACCATTTAACACTACTCATTCCACGGAACCATTTTTTAATACAATTTCTGGTAGCAGCAATAATTTTATATAGGTAATAGAATAACATATTATGTTAGTCTGAATTTTGAAAAATTCAAAGCACCAATCTCTACCCTGCAATAACAAAAAATACGTGAAAAAAACATCGAAAAATCCTATTTTCTCAATTCTCAAAATTATTTTTTGAAAAATAGAATAATATATTGTTATCACCAATCAATAATATAATAAATATTTTAATACCCCAAAAAAACTAACTTTAAACGTTTTTAAAAAAATAACAAAAAACATAAATAATTGCGAGTATTACGTGTTAATAATTCATACTTTATTTAGTATGTAAAATAGTATATTGTATCTAAACAGCACTATTGAAAATTGCATTAACAATTGTTCACTAAAAAAATATAACAAAAATAGTTACATACTACAACTCTAAACTTTATATTTTAATTATTATTACTTGTGTAAACACATTATTATAATTATAGTAAATTTGTTGTTTAACTACATAGATATTTATATAATATAAAATAATATTAAAACATAAGCGTCATGGATGATCAATGTCATGGATTTATTTTAAATACTTTATAATGTAAGATATTTATTAAAAATGAAATAATAAAAATGATAAACATGAACCAAAAATGAAAAAGGATAAAACTTAAAATTAAAAATATTATATGCGTAATAACAATAGTCTAACGTTTCAACGAGACTTATAATCATTTAGGATCAATGCAATAACCCAAGCTTTCCATTTCTGAAACAAAAAACATATTTTGTATTATTTCACACGATAAAATATTCGAAATCATCAAATTAACATTTAATATGTTGCAACTAAACGAACAATAAAAACAACTTAGTTAAGAATTAAGATGTTTATTCTCTTAAAAAATGTATTAGGTACACTATGTATACAATGTTAGGCGATGCTATGGTAGACGACCAACTTCTGACAATATATTAATATAGTATGATCAAAATTGGAACTGATATCAAATAATATTTGAATTGTCTTCAAATAATTAATAAACCCAATAACACCTGTTTGTATGTAAGTTTGACAGCGTGCTGGTAGTATTAACTGATGATGATTATTACAAAAACGTCACACTGCATGTCACGCCCTTTCATCTGTCATATTTAGTTTAAATTACGACCTACTCTTTACTCTATGAATTAGTTTAGTTATACACTGCCGTAGCGTGAACTACAATGGCTGGTTACCATCAGCAAAATAGTCGTATGGTTTCATTACTCTTACGGGGGTTTTTTTTATGCAGAATGCAAAATTACGACTAAAATATTAAGTATTTTAGAGGATATTGTTTTGCAAAAACAGACGTAATAGGTATATTATCAACTAAATCTTTTGAAATTGCAATCGATTAAATAAAATGAATTTATTTTATTATATAAGTATCTATAATACAGGTAGTTTTCCTTTCAATTATCGAAGTTACGTCTTCCGATACGCTCTCGCCATTGGGAGATATGTAATTTTAACAACGACTGAGTCACTGAGATAAATCCAACACCCTTCAGAATATGTGTACTTATATTTTTACGTAATAATCAATGCGTATTTTTGTGTACACTGTACATTTTATGCATCATAGCACATGGCGCACCAATATAACTTCAAATTATCCAACGATAACCATGCTTAATGCGTTAACAACACATTATCATAAATGTTTCGAAATGACTAAAAAGCATAATATACACCAGAGTAACCGCAAGTAGTAGTAATATTGCATTACTTTCAAATAATTGTCTCTTTTTAGAAAATAACGTGTCATTGGTTTTATGCTAATTATAAATTCATTATTCGTAGACGTTTTCGTAATATGAGTATGTATAAGTAAAAATAATACACAACGCTCGTGCTTTTAATAAATATTTATTACATTTGCTTATGCTTATTGCTTGTATTATAGCTAATTTACTGTGCCCAATTTAGACCGACTTCGACATAGGTACATCTATCTACGCAACAACATAAGTAGATGTCATTCAAACTGTTATAATAATTACTATCATGAAACGCAGACAATTAGGTTTCCAAGCTTTTTAAGGTCAATCGACAAACTGTTATTACCGTGTTATTGTAGGTACCTACCTTTTACTACTGCGGCATTGTTCTTCAAATTAATAAACCAATGTTGATAAGGATAATTCGGACGCACTCCGCCGTATACTTTTGGCAAATATTTCGGATCGATGTGCTTGTGTAAAGAGTCCATATTTTTACCGTGGAAAAATAACTGTAAACATACAGCACATTAAACTATGTGATAATACCAATAAAATATATAAACCCATAAAATATTCTATATATAGTATAGTAATTTGTATTTAAGAAAAAAACTATAAAAACATTCAAACAGACAAATCGCTGAAAATTCTTGTAAATAATAAAGAAAATGTATTGAATATAACCAAAATCCCGGTATGAAGCTTAAATTATATTATTTACGAATACCTACAGTTTGTCTTGTTCAACTCATGCATAATATAGTTATGGTGATTAAAAATTGAAAATTAGATAATAAATTATAATTGATCCAAAAAATTCTAAAGTTGAATAACAACCACAGAAATGTTTTCTGTCGAATCGCGATCAATGCTGATCATTGCTGTGCGGTGCAGCGAGTTAAGTAATCACCAGATTCGCCTACGATACTCGGCAAGCGTAGTTTGCTTGGATAATACGCATAAAAAATATATTACAATGGCAATGTTGATTGTCCGCAATTATATTATGATGTTTCCGATGTAAATCGAATCATCGCTTCTAACAATAGTTTTAACACGCATCTGCAGTATTTCAACCGTGAGACACAATTATTATTATATTATTTAGATTTCGTTTTTTTCAAGATCATCAAAAATAATACATAATATCGTAGTAGGTACGTACCATTTCGTTAACACGCTTGCCCAGAAGCGGCTTAAAGAGATTGAACACCGTTTCGAACACCCACGACTCATTGATTATGTGAATCGCGTACGTTTTCATCGGTATGGCATACTGTGGAATGGATGAAAATAATAATATAAAGTATATATTTGCGCAACACGGTTATAGTTGTAATATGTTAGCGGATGGTGTTATTTTTTTTTTCCGCCGACAAGGGTAAAAGCAATCAAAAATCAACGTACGACGATGAGGTCGAAAATCGTAGAAACGACTTTTGGCGTGATTTGGTAAGCGTGATGAAGCGTGAATCCGTTCATATCGAATATGACCACCCCGCCGAGTATTTGAGCCATCGGTTCTAAAATGCCAAGCTCTAACGTGGCCAGCGACGCTTTAAGTATTTCGTTCATGTCGAACTCGTTGGTGTTCCAATTACCTGAGAACATGTAATAACAAGTTATAACGAACCAAACATTTCACAAAACGTCAATTAACCGAGTATAAGGGTGTTAATATTATTATTTATCGCGTCCGAATGAAATTGTAGTATAGGTACTGTACTTGCTATTTTTGCTCCGTAAATTATAGTGAACCATAAGTACCACAAAACAATAGATTAACCCAAAGAAATAAAGCAACGATACCTACGAATGTTTTATTAATATTATTAATTTCCAAAAATATTTATGATTGTATAGCAGTATAATATAGGTACCTAAGTACAATATATGATCATATGTGTATTGTAAATACTACAATTTATTTGATAAGACTATTTGAAGATACTTGGACGGAAACCTAATTATTCGTCAGGAATTTATACAACAATGTGCTTTTACGTTTTAATAGTTTTTAATACTCTTTTAATTTTTTTACTTTATGTATTTTCAATTGAATAATATAAGCGTGGATTGGAGGGAAGCTAAGGAATAGGATAAAACAAGATCCTTCAACAATTTCAAGTTGATTAATACCTATCTACAATAGGTACCTATAATTATAAATATCTTATAAATAAGATAGAGTTGGTTTTATTTTCATTGTTTTCAGCAAAAAAACATGTACTGTTTAACAAAAACTGTAAAATAATTGAAGTAAAAAAAAAACAAAAGCAATATCTGCAGTGATAAATTTAAATTCATATTATGAATACCTACGTGTGATAATTTATTGGCTAATCAATGAATAATAATAAACATAGCGATGAAAACTGTTTTTTCTATTTTTAAATATTAAATGTATTAATCGTTTTAAAGATATGCCTATAAAATATAAATGTATGATTTGTGCCAGGTAACAATAATAATTATTTAATTAAGTCATAACCATTATTGTTACTGGTTAGCATACCTATCTATTACACAATAGTCTTATAAGAATAATTAAGATATTCAAACAATTAATATATAAGTTTAATTGGTGGTAGATTTATATATACAGGGTGATTCTCCAAGCAATCTCACCCCGTTTTTTCTTCAATAATGCAGTAGTTCAAAATCTGATTTTTTAAAATTTTTGAGTATACTAAAAAATGCATATGAGTGGTTTTTGAGTTATTTGACTTTGTGTTCTAACTTTCTAAGGATAAAATGTCCATAGTAATGAGTTTATTAGATATGGGGGCTATAGTGATTTGAAAATTGTAGTCATTTATATTAATTTATCGATATTAATAATAACACAGCTTATACCTATACATTATACATAAAATAAATAACCAATATGGAGATACCTGAGTTTACTTTTTAAAAATGTGTTTGCATAAAGTACAATTTTATTTATTCTAATAATTATTCTAATTTGTGTTAGTTAGTTTCAAGAAAAAATTCTACTTATTGAAGACTGATGGCCCCGCGTTGAATAAGCTTTTACATTGAGTTTTATTTATTTTTTTTTTTTAGTCTGTAAAATGTTATGAATTATGATTCAAAACTTGTGAAAAAAATTAATTAGATAAAAGTGGAGTTTTATTAGTTTCAATGTTGAAAATTATCAGTACTTACATAATTATCATTAATGTAAATCACGTTAAACTTTATACAGAGAAAATAAGGTGATATTTTTGTTAATTGAGTCCAAAATCGTTAAGATTAAAGTTCATACAAGATAAGTTGTTATTATAAACTTAATAAAAAAGAATTAAATTTATTGAACATTTTCATATAGGTAGGCACAGTTAAATGTGTTTGAAAATATTATAATGTATAAAATGTTAATAAATCTGTTAAATGTCAAATTCATTATAATTTATAAGTGTCGTCTTATTATTGCACATTATTTTCGCGTTTTTGAAATTCAGTTTCAGTATTCAACAATTATTTGAATACTTATATTTTTAACTCATAAAATGAATAATATTAAAATAAGACAAATTAATTTGCAAGATTCCAAGTTTGCAATTTTTTTGGTTTTTAGAAAGTTAAGTAAGGCCGCGATGAAGTATAAATACAATGCATCATTTTTAATTAGTAATAAGTTAAAGATTTCATAAATACATTTTAATTATTCAGAAGAAACCATATATTATTATGGTTATACTATTTACACACCCGTTAGTTATATAGGCCACTGAATTCTCTGCTAAGAACATGGTTAATTAAAAATGAAACAACTAACAAATAAATCTTGAAATTTAGTCAAAAGGTTTTGCCGAAAATTATTTATTTATCGTAAAAGTCAGTTTGATAAACTTCAAAATTACGCAAGTAGTTAATAATTCCAATTATAGTTGCATCAACTACAAATTCACAAGAGGGCAAAACTTATAATATTTTAATCCCTTCGCATATTTTTCCGACAGTAAAACAGCGCATTAATTACTAATGGGTACCTATAATACAATACGAGCAAGAGAATTATTAGTCAGTATATAAGCTTTAAATACCATTTGAAAACGCTGTGATATTTGCTACTATTAAATTCCTTTAAACTAGGTACTGCAGCTAATAAACGCGTAAAATGTTACAAGCCCAATCGCATAGGAATTTAATATAATAAGTAATTTCAACCACATTCATTTCAGTGTAACGACATTATAATTTGTTCGTTCGAACTTTAAAGTTTAAAAGTAAAATAATATAATTTTTGAATTTTTATTTTAATAATTAGTCACTAGATTGTTATTTTATAAGTTTTTCGACATTTGTATATTATGTGGCTTTTGGTACACATTCACAAATTATTATTAAGAATTATTAGTAGACTTGTTATCATACGACTTGTGGATATTATTGTGACCAAACTGCGATGACAACCAATAAGTTAAAATGTATTATTTATCTAAATGTGAGTTGCACATCAATGAATATTAATTGTTATGCATGTCATAACATAGATTATAAATATTATTGAATTTATTATATCAAAATATGTTTACTGTTCACACTTGAAGCATACGTCTGTAAAGGTACTATAGACACTCGTATAATGTAATTATTTGCCCACTAAGACGATTTTTCTTATTGTCTTGCATTTCATGAATTATGTACTTACTCAAGTACAATAATATTGTATTCTATGAGGTTCCAAACAGACAAAAAGACCTTCAAAGAATTGATATAATTATTATTATATTACCTATATATTACATTATTATCATTTGATGAAAGACGTATATTATAATAGTGAGCAAAGATTAATGACTATTCACATCACTGCAGGTTGCACTTTGTTCTACAATAATTATTATTATCTGCATGTACCTACGCCGAGGCAAAGTACCCTCGAAGGTTATCACTGTTGCCTGCAGATTTCCAACTTGTTCCTTTGTTGTTATGCATTTAGAGATGGGTAGGTATAGTGTGGTGCCCCTCCCAAATTGAAACAATTTAAATCTTTACGTCATACGGTTAATAATATTATTGCCTTGATTATTAAAGCAACATGTATCTCATATTTTTAACAAACCCGACCTTTGATTAATTCTTCGGGGGGGGGGGGGGGGGGAAATACACTTATAAACAATATGGGTATATTATATTTGGTACCAGTAACGATAAATAATAGTGTAAATAGTAAATACTAATATAAAATACATATAAACTGTGTGTACCCACCTACATATATTACTCGCAAAATAACCCTGACACACAAGGAAATCAATCAGTTGAAAGAACAGAAGGATCAAAGAATCTCGAAAAGAGATCAATTAAGATAAAACAGTATTTTAGATTTATAATTTTAGACAATCTATTTTTAGCATTATTTTAATAGTTCAAAAATCATCGTTTGAGAATAAAATAAAATTATATAATTGTTCAAAGTTGAAACGCCGGAATCTTGTAATAAAATAATTATAATATACATAAATAATATTATATTGATTAACAGAAAATTAATACTACGGATTTCACAAGCACGCGTTAACTATTTTGTAGAGTATTTAAAAATAAGTATTGGTAAAGCTTTGCGTCATCTACAGGTATAAAACCAGCAACTTTTAAATTTTAAATGTAATTCTGAAAATCGTTTGAAATCATATGAAAGAGATACTTTATAACTATATAAATAAGTACACAATACAGATATATCAACCGACGTTGATGTAGGTAATTAGTAATTACTGTTTACATCAAATACGTTTTTCCAAGGACCAGAAAATGCGTATTCACTATTCAGTAACTATATGCTGTACTGTTAAGTCTTCATGCAATCTAAAATTCTTTTAACAAACAATTATTTTTGGCCAATGTAGCATAATATTGTACCGGCATAAAAATATCCTTTATTGCTTTATACTCAATACGCATCGCCTAAAATGTTAATTTTTTCGTACTTTTTGTTTCAATTGTTTACTGATTGAGCATAAAATACATTTTTTTTATCTTTTATTGATGATACTACCTTTCTCACATTAAAATAAATTTACAAAAGTGTACTAACCTAAAATTGAATAACCCATACAGACATATAGTCGGTACTGTTTTATAGAGAAGGTTATGTATTCATATAATAAATGCTTATAAATATTATACTTAGTTAAGATACATGTAAAGTTATAAAATATAATTAGTATTTATTATTATGAGTTTAGTATGAGTAAGTTTACAACAGATACGAATAATAAATAATACATTAATACCTATATTATACAACAAATACTAGGTACCTGAATACATTTTCTTCTAACCTAAACAGGAAAGCATAGTTGATTTTGTTTAAAATAATCATTTATCATCACATTTGGAGAAAAAAAAATACCAACAAGTAAATGATGATAATAATATTACAGCAGTAAGTTTTAGAATTTTTTCTATTGACTGTCAACCGAATTTGCTAATTTAGCTGAATTTAGCTGAATTTTATGAGTAGGAACCACGACCACTGAACCACATTATACATCTCAAAGATACTCCTATATCGATTTAAAGTACTATTGACTATCCAAATAACATTTTATTACAGCCAATGATAATGTTGTGTAGGTAAGAGTTCGTTTTGTATACATAATATTTAATTTTATAATAGTGGGTATATGATATCGAGTGCAAGTATACATTCTTCTCTCGTAAATATATTGTTAATAATCAATTTTAAAAAACGTGTGACACACTGACACTATTCATCATACACGGCGAATATGAAAAATAAGCCGTTTCCATCTACAGTGCACAGTGTTCGTACAGTAAAAAATACAGATTGTGTCAAATTTTAAGTAAAAGAAAAGTTTGTTATAGAATTGTACATACCTAATTTATAAATTAAAATTCGTCTGCCAGTCTGTTCTTTATAAGGAAGAACACTTAGTACTTCTAAATCGGCTATGAAAGACAAATCCAATGGGTTTATTGTATAGTAGTCTGGATGATTTTCTCTAAATCTGTAGTAATTCACAAACTGTAACAAAAAAGGAAAAAACAATGATAGTTTAGTTAAGATTAATGTCACAAATTAAAATTAAATATAAATTAACCACTCTCCCTAAAAAAATTAATAGTTTTAATCTAGTTGAATAAAAATTTAAAAATAAATAGACCATCTATTATTATTCAGATTTAAAAACTATGTGTTAGGAAATGCAAATACAATATAGTTTTTTACTTAGTAATGCATAAACTATGTAATAGTAAAATTACAATTATTTCGTAAAAACTTCGTGTCTAAAAAAAAAAATTTTAAAAAGCTAATCATCAAACTTTTGAATTAGTACTTATACTAAATAGATACTGCGTTTCGATAGAAAGTTTAAAAATTCAATAAGATATTCAAATCAATATAAATTATTATTTTGTGTTGCGTCTACTAAATAACATTGGTATTACATCAATATCGGCATGCGACAGCCTAAAAATAAAGTCAAAACATAATATTTATTTTTGGGAAAATATAAAAAAGACTTTTGCAAAAGTAAATATTAATACGGCCAATTTGGTATTTTTAATGAAGCTCGTGCATAATATGTTTATTGTTTATTATAATATCACTTTACCTATCGACACGTCAACCGTTAAACCGAATTCAGTACAATAACGAACCATTCAATTTTGCGCAAAATGCATAACATTATTGTATCATGAAATATGCGTGATTGTGGTTTACATTGAACGATATTTTTGACCACAATTATTAAAAATTAAAAACTAGCTATAATATCCATTGAGTATTTTTGTAATATATATATTTAAGTAATATTTTGTATTAATTACAAAACACAGTTGCGTATATTTTACCAAATCGATCACATTATACCTATAAGGTACACAAAATATAATATTTTCACAACTAATTATGTTTTCAAACCATTAGCTACTATTTAGGATATCTACCATATTTTGATTATATTAGATTACAAATAATTTACGCCAATTATGACATCAAATAATCCGTTACTAATAAACTTCACTTTTCGCCGCCTATGGCTTCGTAATTATTTCACACTCGTTTCGCTTAAACAAACACAGTAACACGTGTAAATCAGCAAAACATAACCAATGTGTACCACTGCTATACTTGCATAGATATTTTATTTACATTATCTTATCAATATTTTAGATACTTGCCAAAATTTTTAAACAAAGACGTAAAATAAGCTACGTAATTATGTAACAATAAGCTTAATGAAAGCGCAAAATACAAAAATGTGGATAGTGTACGGTGTCTAAATAATAATAAATGATAACCTATAAACTTTATGAGTACCATAACAATTATTATTAATCATCAAGTAATATTTATACAACTTTAATCGGCGAGTTTAAACAGCCTGAATAATGTTTTCTGACAACTACTTCCTCCTAATTAGTAATAACACTAATAACTAATAAGACGTAATAACATGTATTTATGGCAAGAAGAACTATCATGGTTAAATGTATTATAAGATACAAACATATTATAAATGGTCTATTGTTAGAGTGTTTATTAAAAAAATTCAAGAAACATCTTCGAAATGTATAAAAGAAAAAGTTGGAACACTATAAGTCGGCCGAGGCTGCCCACACTACGGCGGTAACGCCGCGCGGTATAAACGAACTACATTAACGCGGCAAAACCACGATCTGTTCATTTTGGAATAATATACAACCAAAACCAGTAGTAGAGATAACTCTATATTTTAATAATATTTATAAAATTTAAATTTTAAATATTATATTAAAATACTGAAATAAGTATCTTAATAATAATATTATATATTTACACTATTTTAATATAACAATATTACGTATTTAGTATTGTAATTTTATTTGAAGTTAAATATAGCTGATATCGATTAAGTACTAAATCAAAACCTTAATATTTAAATAAAAAATATTGACACAGTAGTTAATTGAATACCAAAAAAAAAAAAAAAATATTTGCTTCAACTTTCAACATTTAAAGTGGAGTCTGCCGCGGGTGCGTGAAAACTTGTATTTATTTGGTACTTTGAGAAGTAAAAAAATAGGAAAATAACATGCGAATATTTACGCAACACCTACCACTTCGATAAAATCAATTTATTATATTTATTGTAATTTAGAAAAGAATAACCATAGACTTCAATTTTCGCCAAATATTTTCTATTCATTATACAGTTTTCAAAATATTTTGAAAGACATTTGAAATTGTTGACTATTTTAGTTTTATTTTTTATAGAATTTTTGATTCCTGGCCAAAAGCTCAAAAGTGTAATTCAAAGTTTTCTCTGGTTTTTCTTTTAATTCAAATACGTTTACTACACTTGAGAATAGTGATTTTTTAAAGCATTTGTAGTTCAAATAATGACGAAATTGGTTATTAAAACGAAAATAAACCGGAGAAGGCTATATGGTAGGTTCTAAGTGTACCTCGCCACTGAGTAGGTTATGCAATAGTAATGTAAATTTAAATTAAATGATATGTAAAGTACATCATACAAAAGCAATTTGAAAGGGTTGGTGTATCGTGTATCATATTAAACTATTAAATTAACTATTATATTACTATCAAAATTAGATATTTATTTTTCAATTAGTAATGCACCGGTATATTTAACTTTTTTTCCATAAAAACATCGTGTATAATATTATTTAATTAATAATTATATAATATACTACATTATCTATACATTATTGTCAATGACTCATAAGTCAATATAGCGTACCGTAGAACAATATTAATAGGTTGGTGGTATAAAAAGATTAAAATAAACTTTTTAAAATTTAATTGTGTATTTAAAATTTAAAATAATAATTTATATAACAGCGAGCAGATTCAGATCTCTGTGGTTAATATATTTTGAATAATAATGTAATAATTAAAAATCATTATGTGTAATCACACATTTTCAAGTTTTTTCCTGGTCGCAAACATTTGTATGAACATTCATAAAAAACAAATAAACTGAGAAATTATAAGAACCTTAATAATAGCTTAAAATTAGTCTAAATATATTAATAGATATAGTGATAATTTAAGTAATAAGTAATAATGGATTCTTTGAAAATGTGAACTTCAAACGTTTATAAAAAAACATATGTGTTAACGCTTAACTGTTTTCTTGATTACCAGTAAACAAAACTTATGTAAAATCTCGTGTTAAATGTCAAGCCTTATTTGTAAAAATTTAAGCTGCTATGCATTTTTAACTTCAAAATGATTTGCGAGTTGATGTGATTTTGACGAACTTAGTAAAATGTTTAACTAATAAAAAATGATGACTGTTTTTTGATATTTTTAAAAATATATCAGTAGGTACAACTTATAAAGATCATTGTATTATATTTTCAAACATTTTGACTTACAAACAATAAATAACCATACATACCTACCTAAATCGAAAAAAAAATGAATCAAAAGAAAAAATTATTGCAAATGTTTACAAATAATAGAACAAAGGAGCCAACTTCTTTAGAAAATAATTTTTACCACTAGCAATTTATATTATATATTATAAAAAAATGTTAGTACTTATACAAAGATTCGACTCATCCATTTATGATGACATACTTAATATCGAGGTAAGTACACTCAAAGAGCGTGTTAATCGGCTTATATTTAGTTATATGAATCTTATTATTTTAGTAAAGTGTAAATAAACCGAAATATGCCACTTATTTTGAGTGTTTATAAACATACATTTATTGTATTCTAATATGGTCATAAAAACTTATAGTTAGTAAAAAAGGTAAATCAGCTAAAAGTTATAATAAGGCAATAATTTATAGGTATGTTTAGTTAGAATAGAATGTATTAGGTGTAGTACCAAACAATACAATTTTAATAAATTTAGTTTTTCTCATCAAATTTTGCATAAGCTACCTACTCATATTTATTGCATCAAACAATGTTTTTCGAGATAGTAAAAACAACATCTCAAGTAATTAAAACTATTTCAATTAATAATTGCTTTCCGTTCCAAATAGAATCTGCACAGTTTTTAATAATGAAAACTAATAATTTATTTTGCTTTAATTATATCAGTAAGTTATTCTTCACTATCGACCAAGGAAATATGCTTGAAGAGTTTCAAGAAACTCTTGGCCTTTAAGAAATTATATTATGTTGGATGACTTATAATTATGAATTTATGGTACTTATAAACAAGTAGGTATATGAATACGTTTTAATAGCTCTTGAAACAATTTACGACTATTTTATAGCAAAAATATATGAATTATAATTGCATAGTTAAATATTATTAATTCCTATGCACAAAATAAAACATAGGTGCGCATTTTTTATTTTAATTGAATGTTTGAAACGCCTGCAGATTCAATACCTACTCATTTTTAGTTTTTCACACACACACACACATTTTATTTTAATTGAATGTTTGAAACGCCTGCAGATTCAATACCTACTCATTTTTAGTTTTTTGTTTACATCGGTTTCGTTTTAGTGCAACGTGTAACAGGTACCTATTACCTACTACACAGTACTACATTCGATTTTAAAACAACTTTTACTTTTACCTATATACAATGCACATTAACGAATTTGAACATTATGTTCCGGTAATGCATGTGCATACTAATCTTCAAGTCACGTAAAAACGAATTTTACAAATGCTTAGATATTTCACACACATCATCATAGTCATATTCAAAATTAAACTTTGGTATAAGTATAAAAAATTATTTTAGTAGCTATAAAAACAATAATGTAAAAAATGTATTTCCATCTTAATATCTACACATTTGTATTATAAAATTACATTTTTTGCGTTTCATCATAATCAACCTCGAGTTTTTATACGAAATTCAAGGTTGTTTGAAATGTTAAACATAACACACTTAATTAATGTTATAAAATATTCGCTGACATATAGTAATAGTGTCAATCACAGTTTGATGCTAAGAATGTAACAATAATACGTATGTATGAATTTAGACACATGTTTACATAGCTATATAGCTTATATTGTAAACATTTTTTTC